CCTAGACACAGGAGAACTATTGTCGTGAAAGTGTTGTACAGTCGATTACGAATTTAGATTGCAGAGAGTTTGTTCTGAGCGCTAAAGGCACTCACGATAGAGCACATTTTGCTTTATTCTAACAGTTAGCATGTCCTCAACTACACAAGGTGGGATTTGGCAACGGAGTTCCAAAAAGGTCGCAGATGTCATCACAGTCATGATCCCCATCTTCTCCTCAAAGATAGCAGGATGCATTCCATCCTTCATCCAGGCCATCCTCTTCCAATTAAAAGTTGTGGAGGGCGCATCAACTCAGCCATATTGGTGTGGAACCATGTGTGATGAATGGTCCTGACGCTGCTCGTTCATGATTCCTTTTGTCTGGAAGATCCATCTCCTCCTTGGCGATGGTATTGTAAATACAGTAATTGATCGTTATCTCCTGTAGTTGAGTCGATAAAGCTAATCAGCCTTGTTGGAGGGCCATAGGGTTGGGCATTGCCCATGGCGCGTTTGATCGGAGAGTTCTTGTGTGTGTTTGATTGTTGTGATGATTGATTGATTGATTCATTGGACCTCAAATCCTGATTGATCGGCAAGACGGGAGACGTATGGGCGTTTCTAGCTCTTCCTTAGTCTCAAGCTCCGTCGTGTCGATTGCGGCGCGTCGCTTCAGTGAAGTACACGGTTGGCGGACGGAGCGAAGAGTGTCGACGAAGAGGGCGGAAGATTTGGAGAAGACATTGTTCGCAATGGGAGCTTGTGGGATGAGGGAGACGATAGAAGGAGCTTAGCTGCTCGGTCAAGACCGTCAGCTTTTTTGCTTTTTGCTTTTGTCTGCATCCCACTGCCTTTCTCAAAAATCCTCCGTCAAGGTCCTCCTTCAAGGTTATCAAAAAATCCTCCGTTGAGGTCCTCCGTCGAGGTTATTCAATAAATCCTCCTTGAGGTTAGCATCGAGCCACTCTCCGTGTGCAACATGTCGTACGTTTTACTCCTCCGTCGAGGAAAAAACACCAAAATCCTCTGTCGAGGTCCTCTGTCGAGGTTACAAAATCCTCCGTCGAGGTCCTCCGTCAAGGTTACCAAAAATCCTCCTTCGAGGTCCTCCGTCGAGGTTAACAAAATCCTCCGTCAAGGTCCTCCGTCGAGGTTACCAAAATCCTCCGTCAAGGTCCTCCGTCGAGGTTACCAAAAATCCTCCGTCGAGGTCCTCCGTCGAGGTTACCAAAAATCCTCCGTTGAGGTTACCAAAAATCCTCCGTCGAGGTCCTCCGTCAAACGAGGTCCTCCGTCGAGGTTACACATAATCCTCCGTCGAGGCCCCCCGTCAAGGTTACGCAATCCTCCGTCGAGTTCCTCCGTCGATTTTAACAACACATCCTCCGTTAAGGTCCCCCGTCGAGGCTACAAAATCCTCTGCCGAGGTCCTCCGACAAGACTACAAAATCCTCCGTCGAGATCCTCCGTCGAGGTTATCTGACAATCCTCTGTGGAAGTCTACATATTCCCCTCTAGCCGCACCATGCGGCTATAAACAACTGCTTTTGCTCTCCTCGCTAAAGCCGTCTGTCTCTAATACTTAATTTAAAGTCAATTTCGGATCCGTGCTTTTCCTGTCTCCTTCGTTCTCGGCCCATTTCTCCCATGCGACTCTCATCCTTCCTCTCTCCAAGATGGATATCCCTTGCCTGAATATGTCTCTACATCTTCTAGTCTTTATATATCTACAGTTCTATCTTTCCCAATATCCCCCCGAGCGCCTTTCAAGGGGCGTTTCCTGTCCAAAACAAAAACTTTTCCTTCCCAGATCAAAAACTTTTCTTCCCTTTTTATTTCCCATTCACACTTCCCTCTCCACCCGCTGACACGCCATTTCTATGGAATTCCCTGCACTGTAGTACATTCCATACCAACCTCCACACACTTACAATACCTTTCCCAATCGCGTCCCTCCCCATAAAATTTCTGATATCAGATTTTCCGACCTTTTGATCAACACCATCACCCGCCATGCTATTTCCCTCATACTCCTCCATCAAGTCCCTTCTCACTGATGCGGACTCCGATGCCCTCTTGAAGAACGTTTTCCATGGCTCGTCCAACATGTCTGATCGCGCCACTGCTGTCACTTCGGCACTTGGCCTTATGTTCTTCGACCCTCAAGGAAAGCTCACGGTCGTTACCATCTCAAAAAAGGTTATCCTTGACAACGGCATGTCGGCTGGCATCTTCGCTTCCCTCCGAGACGACCTCGCCCAAGCGATCCCCGTGACCATTGACCCCGACGCACTCTCCAAACGGGTGATCGGGGTGGGTAACAATGGCCGCGCCGTCTCGTGCTGCGTCCCTCTACTAAAGGACACCCAGTACCACCCGAGCAACGCCAAGAACGCCAACGACGCAGACTTACCTGGAGACATCGACTTCACAGTCGAATCGCCAACTTTCTGTGCTGTCTCGGTTTTCTGCCCTCTTGTTCCAGGTAGCAAGATGCCACCGGCTCTGGACCTTACCCAAGACGTCCCTGAAGAAGTTCTTTTAGCCCTTTCGCCCCACGAACGTCTATGGGTCGAAGTTCATGCCTTTCTCTTCAAGAATACGATGGGTAGAAGCCTTTTTGTTGATGAGACCCTGGTTGGCAAGACTTCTATCCCCCTGGACCAGTTTATTGTCAACGAGCAGCTAGCTGCAATCTCCGAGAATACTCTCTCCACAGCTTCTGGGTATGAGTTTCGCGACGCCCGGACCGGCTCCGAGTCCTTCTACAAGTACATCACGAGCTTCAACAGTAAGGTCGACGCGCTCTCCCGAGCCCACACCGATGTTTCCGCCGAACCAAGTGTTCCTACCGGGGCTGCCCAACCAATCGACCACGCCAGTATCATCAAGGAGGCAATTTTGGCATCAAAGACCACGGCCACCAACGACGCGGCAACCAAAGCCCAAGAGCGAGTACTACCGTCCTGGCGAATACTCTTTGGCCATTTCATCACCCACCCGGATGGGAGTGTTGAGTACGTGCTGGCTGATTGTTCGTCCGCCTGGAAGACCATATTGAAGGCCAAGCCCCAACTTGCCCTTCGTTTCTTCCACGAAGCCTTCGAACAATCCATTAAAGCGCTCCAACCAACCCGCAATGCTTACCATGCTCTCTTCGACTGGGATGTCCATCGCATTCAGGCAGCTGGGATGGCGGCGATCCAAGGAGCCAGCTTTACCACCAGATCTCTAGTAATGAACCCATCCGATGCATTGTCCTGCTTCAGTCTCCTTCAGTTCCTCCCTTCCGACAGGACCGACAAGGACTTGGCCTCGCATATTAACAAAGATGAAGAAGCCTGCATGCAGGAAGACATGGGTGAGCATGTAACCAAGAGAGCCTCCAAGAAGACAAAATTGTACTCCAAGGGCCGCTGCACCTCCATTTCCAACATCAAGAGCACCATCTCCAACGTAGCACAACTTGCTGCCTTTGCAACCGAAAATTTCTCCATGTCCAACAACACACCCTTCATGGTGGGACAGTTTGACACGGTTATGGTTGCTTTGTCCCGACCTGATGCCGTCCAGTGGCAGCATGTGATCGACCTCACGGGTGTCGCTGTCCACATCCTCCATGACCTCCAAACCGTTTTCCAGGTCATCGCCGCCGAGGCCAAGGACTTCACTCTCCATGCCGAAGCACGACCACTTGGCACCATTCAACGTGCGGAACTATTCTCTGGCGCACGAGCCCAGACACAGCTCCTGCTGGACAAGATTGACGAAGGACTTCGAAATTGTCGCCGCCCCAACTATCCCAGGACGTCTGCCCTTAGTGCCCTGATTTCTTCTACCGCGGCCCCCAATGCTTCTCCTTCTGGCAAACGGTCCTCCGAGTCACCATCCTCCAAACAAGATACAGTCGCTTCACCTGCAAAGAAGCCAAAGCCTAGCAACGAGGAAAGCACCACCAGGGGTATGCTCATCTGTACTTCCACCGGACGACCACCAATGCCAGATCAAAAGTGGAAAGTCAACGGTGTAGAGAAGACTGCCTGTGTCAACTTCCTCTTCCAAAACTTCCAGTGCACGAATACTCGTTGCACTTTGCTCCATCTTCATAAACGAGTGTTCCAATCTCGTCCTGTTAGCAAACAGGAGTCCTTCAAGACCTGGGTCCAATCGACTCCGAACGTCAAATGGGCTCCTGGGCAAGAACCACGTACCGGTTAGTTTCTCTTTTTACTTAAGCAACTTTCTTCCTTCTCCCAATTTTGCCTTCCACTTACTCCTAGTTAATTTCCTTCTCTCTCATGGTTGATTGTTGTTGCCCCACCAAGTGGCAGCCGCATCAGTAAGCACTCTTACCCGGCAGGTCAACTACTATGCGTCTCGGCCCACACCTAAGTCACATTGCGTTGACCCACAAGACGAGTGTGTTCTCCAGAAATATCCCCCAACTAGGACAATTTTTGACGAGCTCGACCCTGCGGACATGCTTGTTGCTGACCGATTCCGCCACATTCTGGAACAGGGCGCAAGGGTAACACCTACCTTTACTCGGTCGGAACAATCCCAATTTCTCCGGAATCTCCCGAGTAGAACTGCCCTGGCTGTGGAGTCACCATACGGTAAGGATAGTAACGATCGATGCTTCAAGACAAAAAGTACATTTTGCCATACCTTTGTTTTTCTCTACAAGAGCGGTTACTTGGACACAACGACGGGCGATCGCTTGGGCAAGGCTTTTTCCGGAGCCTTACTTCTTCGTCTGTTACTCAAGAGCCACGAGTTTGTTGACTTTTGGCCACTTCGTTCCGTTCTCCCTTCGGATACACCAATGGGCCAAGTTATGCACTGTTGGAGCCGGATGTTCACCGCCTGTTTGTTACATTACAACTTGGACGTAGCCACCGCTGTCCGCTATGTTGGGAACATCCATACAGGGGCCCATCGTGATTGGAACGCTTTGGAACCAGAGCTACGTGCGGCATCAGTTGATGATGGTCTTGTTGCAAATTTACGGCGCGTGCTCGTTGACGGTTGTCCGAATTATGTCAACACTACGTCGTCCGAGAAGAATCGGCGATCCTTCGCTGAATATGGAAATCACGACTCGGTTTATACCAATATCGAAACAACACAGAAAGCAGTGCAGAAGGATTTCGCCCGATCCCACAGCCTTGTTGGTAACCCTCTGTTGACACCTTTCCTACCAGATACACAGCAGATCCCACAAGGCCTCGTGGTTGTCCCAGGAAAGAGCGATCGTCAAATCTGTGATGGCACCTTTCGTCCTTTGCTCGAGTCTATCGCTACCAACGATATGACAACAAAAGATACGGAGCATAAGGTCAAATTTCCAAAATCGCTTCTGAACCACCTCGCATACATCTACAATGCTCGGATCAGCTACAAGTCCGAGGAACTTTACCTTGGTGACGACGACGTCTCAGGTGCCTTTCGCCACGGAAAATGGAACCCAAATGTCATTGGAATGCATACGTTTTCCATTTTCGGTTTCCTGTTCTTCTGCACTGGTCTGACATTCGGTGGCAATACCTGCCCGTCAAATTTCGAGATTATAGCCTTAAGTCGTATGGCTCTTGCACGCTTCCTCTGGTCACAGGCTTCTACGATTTCTTGGGTTCTACAATACCTTCCGGCGATATCGACATCCCCTGAACCAACGCCTGATGAGATCGCACAGTTTACCCCAGCGGAAGCCGATTCCATCAACAAAGGTGTGTTCAACCCGGACGGATCTCGGATTCCACCCAATTTCGACCACCACATGGATGATTGTCTTTATGTCGATGTCGCCAAGACCCTGAGGCAAACAATAGCCTCCAGTGTTCTGGCTCTCTATTTGATCCTTGGCTTCCCAGACGCTTCAAAAGGGATTCAAGATTGCGTGTCTTGGGAAAAGTTCGTTGATTGATTCTCGTCCCCTTATGGTGAGCCTCCCATCTGAGAAACGAGATCGTATCATCCAACGGCTCAGGACCTTCCTGCGGCAACGTCGCCTAACCCTTCAAGAAATCGCAGAACTCCTTGGTCTGCTTTCGAACGCCACTACAGTTTGCCGCCACATGCGCTGTTCCTACTTCAATCTGCAATGCCTTCTTCGTTTGATCCTCGTTCATCGGTACCGCACTCTCATTGGGTACCACAGGCGGAAGGACTGGGAACTTCAGATCGCTTCTCGACTGTCTTCTACCTTTATTCACCGCATGGATGGAATCTTGAGCCGAAAAATGGCAAAAGTTCTTTGGGGCTCCAAACAATCCTACAAGCTGAGTCCGTGGCAATTCGAGAAGTCAAAGTGATTATCCACAGCCTACAAACTGAGGAATGGAAGATTTTTATTCCCCAGATGATCCCTCGCGACCACCATTTCGAGTCCTTTGGTGATGCTAGTTTCATTGGGGGTGGCGCTTATTCTACGTCCCTTGACTACTGGTTTTGTGTTGTTTGCACTCTCTACACATCCTGGGTTGCATTAGTAACATTTTGGAATCAAACTTAACTATTTAATCAACTATGTTATCTATAGCATCTCAATTATTGGCTTGCGACGATTCATTTGTGATCAAGTCGAGAGTTCGGCAAAGAGAGAGTTCAGCAAAGATATGGCAGTATGATTGGAATCTAGCTACCTGCATCATCTTGCTGCCTCCTTACCATACTCTCTATACTAGACGAACTACAACGATGTGGTAGTTCGGACACTAGCAAGGGATGAATTCCGGTGGAACAGCCTCATGCCCAATTGGAGAAACACGAAGCAGCGGCTCCGCAGTATATATTTTTTTCAACCATGGAAAACAAACGGAAATGAGCCTGTGCAAACTCATTCAGCCGAGAGTTGTATGCATTGAGTGCCCAGCCAAGATATAAACGGATCTCCTGGCCAACTGTCAGATCCTCAGCGAAGCCCACGAAGTTGGATTGTTGTGTTTTCCTATGAAGCTGCTCCGCACAGCTGGCTTCCACTGCTTCCTCATGCCATGGTTCAGTTTTAAAATGTGATGGCTCGTTATCGTGTGTAAAATTCCTTGTCTATAGCATTGGTGAGTTTCTCCGTGACGAACAATATTTTTGATTCGCCTTTTTTGAATTGCAGTAACCTGGATATGGCACCAGCTCCCGTCACGTACCGTATGTAGAAACTGGTAGACGCAAGCAAACGGTTTGACCAAGATTATGTGACAACGCGAAACTGAAAAACTCTAGTCAATCGGACCAATCAAAATTCAGCTTGAATGTTCCCTCGTTTTGTCATAAACTGTGCCACAATGGTTTCATCATGGTTACAACAGGATTAAACTTCTACTGCCCTTTAAGTATTGTTAACTAATACCTTTAGTCTACCCAAGGATCTAATATTTTATCCAAGTCTTGAATAGCTGCTGGTTTGTCATCAATAGCCATAAAATCCATGGCATCTCCATCCTTGTCATCATTATCCTCATCATTATCTTCAGCAGTGTGATCGCTGTCATCGCTACTCTCTTCGTTTGCATGACCAATGCCCACTCCAATACCAGAGGAATCGTGAGTTAGCATGTCCTCAACTACACAAGGTGGGATTCGCGGCAACGGAGTTCCAAAAAGGTCGCAGATGTCATCACAGTCATGATCCCCATCTTCTCCTCGAAGATAGCGGGATGCATTCCATCCCTCATTTAGGTCATCCTCTTCCGATTAAAAGTTGTGGAGGGCGCAGCAAGTCAGCCATATTGGTGTGGAACCATGTGTGATGTGTGGTCCTGACGCTGCTCGTTCATGATTCCTTTTGTCTGGAAGATCCATCTCCTCCTTGGCGATGGTATTGTAAATACAGTAATTGATCGTTATCTCCTGTAGTTGAGTCGATAAAGCTAATCAGCCTTGTTGGAGGGCCATAGGGTTGGGCATTGCCCATGGCGCGTTCGATCGGAGAGTTCTTGTGTGTGTTTGAGTGTTGTGATGATTGATTGATTGATTCATTGGACCTCAAATCCTGTTTGGTTGGACCTCAAAAATCCAACATTCCAGGAGCTCATCATATATAGGAACATCTTGTCGTTCATAAATAGTTTAGAACCAAAAGGGACATTTTTAAAAAATTCTTAGTCCGTAATAAATTTAAAGGCACACCTGACATAATGATGGAACCTGCTTTTAGGTCGCGACTCAATACTTCTTAAAAATTACTCGTTCCGAATAAAAATTACTCTTTCCGAATGGAAATTACTCGTTCCGAATAAAAATTACTCGCTTTTTTTTCTCGTTTTGGTGGCTTCTCATCGTTTCTGGAAGTCCCACAAAAATATCCCCCGCTCTGCTCAGTCCTACCCCCCATGATCTTCATCAGAGATGCTTTATCGCCAATCAAGTCTTGGCTTGAGATGTGATCAGCAATACCAGAAAGGGTTGGAGAGGAGATTGTGAGTGTCAACAATAATGCTCACAAAATCGAAAAGGAAGATTCCAACAAATCGCTTTTAAAACCATCTACCATGCCACCAATCTCCGCCACCGCCGTATCTTCTCTTGAGGAAGGAGCGGGTAAGAAACTTGCAGATTGGGAAATTCATTATCAGCTTCAAAGCATTGAGGAACACAATCTAGATTGTTGGAATTTTGTGCCTATTCAACTATGGAATACAAACAAGACGATGTTTGGTGAAAAAGGAAGCATCACAAGAAAGTGCTACAGTCGGGTCATCAACAACACTGTGAAACGGGTGGGCATTGAAACCTAGTAGTACATCAAATTGGTAAAGAAAAACAAGATCAAGATGTCGGATACAACTCGTGCTGAACTCGAATCAAACAAGGAAAACCCTGTTGACGCAGATGACAGGATGGAGACAGAGGCGACCAAGGAGGACAAACCAACAATTGCCAGCTCCTGAACAGCGTACTGCAGTATCTTCGACAATTCCAGAACAAGCAACTGCACTCAACTCCTCTTTTGACCTCCTTGTTTCTAATCTTTCAGGGATGGACATTTCTGCAAACTCCTCTATTGGCTCACCAAGTCAAATCTTCGGAGCCACAAGCTATGGATCTCATAGTTTCTCCTCTCCTTGTGGCTTCGGTTCCGCACCAACAAGAACCAGGCCCAGCTACCCTCTTCCCAACTATCACCAAGATGGTTCCAAGAAATGGCCAAACCTCATCTATAATTTTCCAGAACATGGCCACCGCCACGGAAACACATTCATTTGCCAAGGTCTGATCGAACAAGACCATATTGAGTATCAAACCATCACTGTGAACTGCTCATGCCCCCCAGATGACTACAAGTTCTATGAACTCAAAATCGCAAATTCTTTTGAGGTGCCAGCTTGCTTTCAAAAGCATCTCGGTCGTATTCTTTTGTTTCGAGAGCCAGTAGCCAACTTCACTGCACGTCAGTACCAGAAGTTTGGTATTGCTAAGTCCGATAATCCCGGAGCAAAGAAGACTGTTGTCAATGCCCTGAAGGCAGAGGCAGTGAATGCTGAGAGAGACTTGGACCTATTTTTCAATTACTCGATCATCGTGTTTTCAATGGAACAACCAGTGTTTGCGAATAGAATCTTCTCCCCCAAGTCGGACTTTATTGTTGACAGCAAGAAGAGTGGCATCCATAACAAGCCTGAAGATAACACCAGTTTCAAGAAAGACCAGTATGGCCTCACTCTTTCCTGGAAGATTGCTTTGGCTGGGGAATTCCAAGAACACCTGTGAGAAACCCCAATGCAGTTTCTCTTGCCACCTCTGGTGACAAGAGGAAGGTGTTTGAGAGAGAAGAAAACTTCATTATTTGTTTTGAGCGAGCCTGTTTCGCCAAGGCAGGATGGTCTTGCCAAAGTCCCAGCTGTGAAAAAATGCCCCCCAAGATCAGTCCCCAAAAAAATTACTCACTTTTGGTCGGTTCTCATCGTTTTGGTCGCTTCTCATCGCTTTGGGAAACGAGTAATTTCCATTTGGAACGAGTAATTTCTATTCGGAACGAGTAGTTTCCATTTGGAACGAGTAATTTCCATTCGGAACAAGTAATTTCCATTCGGAACGAGCAATTTCCATTCGGAACGATATTTTGCTCACTTCTGATCGCGTTGTGGTCGCTTCTCATCGCTTTGGTCGCTTCTCATCGTTTATGTCTGAACCAATCATAATTGGTCATCATTAGCTTTTGCTCTTAAGTATGAGTTATTCTTCTTATCCCACGTGATCACATGGATTTCGAAAATGACTGTAGAAGGTCTGTCCGCTCTTCGAACAATGACAAAAATCATCGTTCTGCCGGGTGTTCCTGGAATGCTGGATTTTCATATTCCCAACATTTGCGAAACAGAAGTGGTCTGTAGAGCTGGTAGGATTTCTATGTTGGTAGATATTCTACATACGGTATTTCCTGTTTTGCGTTCGCGAATGTTGACCATGTGGATTGGCCTCATATATTCCCCTTAATGTCCCAGCCGTTATCCTTAATTGACAGTTCCACTGGGATACCTGGCAAAAGTCGTTTTGCTGCATATTTTCAGTGTTCGTGTTCGTGGCCAACGGAGTTTCACGCGGTTTAAATGGAGATTATTTTCCTGATTAAACTCTTTTTAAAAACGCCACCAATTGACAACGCCAGACTTGCTTTTGGGCTATTATGCTCGGCCCGTACGAAATTCTACGAAACGCTACGAAACTCTACGAAACCTACGAAATCCTACAAAATTCAACAAAATTCAACGAAACTCTACGAAATTCAACGCTCAATGAAAGCTACGAAATCTCTCCGTGAGCTAATTTTGTAAATCTGTAGATTCGGGGTGTGTTTTTCGCGCAAGCAAAAGACTGAAAAGCACATTGCAACGGTCGTGGAAACACCTGCAACGAAACCAACGAAATCCAACAATACCCAACAAAACCCAACGAAACGCAACGAAACGCAACGAATTCCAACGAATTCCAACGAATCTCACGAAACACAACAAAATCTAAAGAGATCCAACGAAACCTACAATACACAGAAATATGTATATATAGACAGTCACATCAAAATCAAAGGCCACCTTGTTTGATTGGGAAACGAATCAATATCGATTTATATCGCGTAAGACTTCCTGAACCACAAACACCACATCATGAAAATATGCAGCAAAACGATTTTTGCCGGGTATCCCTGGGTAAAAAGGACAAGGAAATTGTGATTTTTATCACCACCTCATGTGGAGACTATGTGTTACATGAGAACCCCTTGACTTTTTCATGACAAGAATTGTCTTTTTGAGGAAGCTAACCTCCTTTAAAACAGAGATTCCTCTCCTTTTGGAAGACTAGTGTATTGTGATGAAAGGGTATGCAGATGGGAAAACTATTTAAAGTGACCATTGATTGTATCACATAGAGATTTACTTTATTTGACAATTTACTGATCTATTGAATAGGCTATACTGGGGTGTACGTCCCAAGCAGTTGAAATCACAGTGCTTGAAGCTCTGACCTGCCTCCTGTTCTACAGTAGTGCTACTGTCCCTCCCCTCTTTCACCTTTTGATCCAGCAACTTGGCTGTTTGTCAATTGATAGTCATCATGTGTGCTTGATCCAAGTTGAGTGCATTCCTTCCACTACTACATAGTGCTAATAGTACTCCTCTACCTTCAAGATCAGCATCCACCCAGTGTGCCCAGTGCTGCCAGTAGTTATGCTGATGCTTTTGCCTTGCTTTGTGCTTGTACTGGTAGGTGAAGAGGCCAAGGATGAGACAAAAAAACATAGGACATTGGCTGGCTCAGCAGTTGCTGGTTGGGAAGGTGAAGAGCACCTGCACACAAGAAAGCAAGATAATTTTTTTGTAGTAGGAGATTGACTTATCATTTGCAGTTGTTCTCCTTGCGGCCTCACATCTGATCAACGGTGATAATACATTTTTTGCCATCCTGCGTCTTACCCTGATGAAAGGAAAAAAGTCAACACCATGTTAGACAATGATCATATTGCAATAGTTGGATCTGCGTTATGCACAACATTACAGACCAAGAATTGACTTGCCATCTGCAGCGGCCCTCCACTCCTACAACTGGTAATCTCCATGCTGGCCGGGGTTGTATTGTGGGATGGTTGTGTTGGATGATGATTTTGTTAGAAATTTTCATGTTCCAAAACCAAACCATTTTACGTACACAACTACTGAAAGGCTACAGCAGTAGAAACATGGTATTTGTTTACACAATTATCTGGGATGGTGAAATTTCATGTAGAATGCAGTACATACTGTGAAAAATTATGGCACACAAAATTACGAGGGCTCCTACAGTATCATAGGTGTACGTACGTGGTATGTCTCATTTGTTTTGTACCAGGAGTGAGCGCTCACCACGACTCAGAATTGGCAGGCACGCTTTATAAACAAACAAATTTGTCAGCAGCAGCAATGGAATTCAATGTCATTGCAATCACCAGTTGCGAATCCTCCTTCTCCAATTTTCATCCATCTCTTTATGAAGCCTAACCATTTTTCTCTCCAATGCAATACTGTAGGAATCTTTTTATATATCCAATGCAATAGGAATCTGGTGCTATTTTCTGCAGTCTTGAAAACAGTTTTGGGTTTTTTTTTTTACTCTTTACACAGCGAGCGTGTCATGTCAAACTCCAGTACTTTATTTGACGTTCATTTTGACCATAGCAGTCCTAAGCCCGTTCACCCACAAGAAAAGTATTGGAGGGCTGCTACCCAGTACCACCTTTTACATGTCACCCAAGACCAATTTGAAAACTCAGAGTGGCTGAGTTTGACTGGTGCATGTCCATCACAGATGGTGTGTTTGATTGTTGCATATTTTTGATTGTTGGATATCAACTGTTGTTGTTGCAATTGTCTAGACATGGTTAGAATCCACTCAACAATACACCATTGCCATTGCTTGACAACTCCAAACCTAACAAGCCATCTCTGGGAAGAATTGATGCAGCAGAAGAGAAATGGTGTCCATCAATGTGAGTTGGATTGTTGAGTGTTGCATATATGGTTGTCATCGCACACGTTGTAATGACCTTGGAGTGACCTTGGAACTAGATTAGACCCTTTGGAGGTACAGACATAGCTTTAGGCCTAACTCTCATGTCACTCCTTTCTGTGGCTTTCTGAGAGACTCTATAACTTTGTTGTGACCCATTCCTATCTCTTCTGGTTCACTATTCGAATAGCCTTAAGGCTTGGATTGAAGACTACAAGAGTATACTCTCTCACACACAAGCAATTGCTGTTTGATTTGATCAAAATACCTTGATCATTTCAGATTTACAACCAGTTTCACACTACAGTACTTTTTGTGCAATGGCTTCTACACACATGCTCCGTCAAACCATCATTGTCAATGAGGGCGACTCTCCGTTGGCATACAAGTCCAGGGAAGTCACTAATCCAGTGATGCAGTATGTCAGTTTTTTTGACAACAACTTTGAGTGGAAGCAAAAGGTTGAAGTTTGGAATGGTGCAAGTGGAAAGAATGTTGAACCACTCTTTAGGTCCATTCAATCCTTTTGCAACATCTCTTCAGAGTGGGGACTCAATCAGAGTCGTCAAAAGAAGGCCTTGTTCAAGCAATTCCTCACTGCTGAACCGCACATGACCTATCATAGGATTTCTGATGCTCATGGGAACTCAGTTCAGGACTTTGAAGACTCTGCCAATGAATTCATTTGCAACTACACTTGTGAAAATCCTAAGTATCAGGTGAACATGTATCTCTTTGATACTTCCAATTACATTCGCAAATTGTGTAATACAGAAATTGGAATTCATGCAAATCGCTTAAAAACCCTATTTGTGTATCACAATATGCTTCCTGGAAATTGTTCCAACGTGAACAATGAGAACAATCCAGGTCAAATTTGGAAGAGAAAGCTGGCACTGTCTCGCTCCTTTACAATTGATTGGCAGGGAGATTTTATCAATTCACAGAATGATCCGGCGAACAACAATATTGTTAGTTGAATGACACAGAAGAAAAGAACAGTGGACAGGAAGAAACTTATGCAGGAGAGTTCTCAACGTTGAACTCAACCTGGTAATCGCACAGGTGGAAGAGGCCTTCACCAAAATCGTTTTGGTGGTGGTCGTGGTCATGTTCGTCCAAGCAATTCTGGCTATCAACCATCCCCAAGACCCCCGAACTCTCCAAGATGTTCTCAAGGGAATTCACAAGGGTTTTCAACGTGGAGGCAGTTCCCAGCAACAGAAACAAGGACGATTTCAGCCAAGAAACCCTAACAATGGTGGCAGAGGCCGTGGATTCAATGGCCAGCACAGTGGACACTCCCAAACTGGCCGCTTTCAGCTAGGACAAAACTATCAAGGCAGAGGCCAATCACAGCAACAAAACAATCAAAACTACAATGCTGAGTCGCACTACAATCAAGAAGCTGAAAGCTTTGCTGCGGAAGGCAGCGTTCCTGAATGGAACCAAGACAGAATGTCTTGTGGTGGAATGCCAAGTGCGGAGCAGTACCAGAATCAGGAACACTATTATCAAGCTGAAGAAAATCAGCAATGGAATGATCAATTCAACTTTGAAGAGGAAGAATATTATCCTGAAGAACAGGAGGCGGAGGAACATTTTTCCTATGATGAAGATTTGCCATTTTCCTTTCATGAAGAGCATTACTGACCAAAAATACTTGTAAACTAACAGAGCTTCCTACACTTCCCAATCCATTTCTGGAACCTGATTTGTCTTCGTTTTACAAGTATTATTTGATTCAGGAGGCTCGCATATGATGATCAATGCAAGGCGATTCCTAAAAATGCTAAGGTATAAAGTATTCGAAAGGCAAAGAAGTGCACTACTGTAAGGCAAATGTCTTTGATTCGCCAATGTGTCCACATGATGTCATCATCGGACGCAACCTTCTACACGAAATGGGCTTGGATATCCAATTTTCAAACGGACAAGTCAAATGGATAGACAAGTTCATTCCAATGAAGGCTCCAGATCATTGGCAAAACCACACCAACTATTTGTTGGCATTGGATCACAATGTCCTGGATATCCACGATGATGATGATGCTGATGATGCCTTTATCATGGATGCAAAATACAAAGCTACTTCAGGTGCTGAAGTTGCTGACAAGCAAAAGCATCTAACTGACGAGCAGCGCAAGCTCTTGGCCTAAGCGTTGAAGAATACAGACAAGATTTTTGATGGTCAACTTGGCCATTATAAACATGAGAAGATTCACTTGGAGCTCATTGAAAATGCCCAACCAGTGTTTCAAAGGCGTATTCAGTGCCCAAACAGCATGAACCTGCATCTGCAAGAGATTGGAGTCCTCGAACAAACAGGACCGTCAAATGGGCGTCGCCAACACTCATCATTCCAAAGAAGGACGGTAGGATGCGATTGATCAGCAATCTCAGACAGATGAACAAGAATGTCATACGTAAAGTATATCCCTTGCCTTTGATTGATGATATTGTTGCATGTCATTCTGGCTACAAGTATTTCACAAAACTTGATCTCACTATGATGTATTATTCCTTTGAATTGGATGAGCCGAGCAAGAAACTTTGCACAATCAATACCCAGTACGGTTTGTACCAATGAAACCAAATGGCAATGGGATTGAAACCAGCTCCTGATTTTGCTCAATACTATATAGAAAAAACGTTGCGTGACCTAAAAGAAAAAGGTGTTGAAATTTACATTGACAATGTCGGCCTGTTCTCCAATTCTTACAAGGAACATATAGCCTTGATCCAGGAAGTATTGCAGCAACTATAAGCTGCTGGATTCAAGAGCAATCCATTGAAGTGCAAATGATGTGTCCAAGAAACCGATTTCTTGGGCCATTGGTTGACTCCTGACGGTGTCAAGCCGTGGAAGAAAAAGATTGATGCCATCCTCAAGATGTCAGCGCCAACATACATGACCGAATTGCATGCTTTTCTTGGTGCTGTTACCTTTTACCGTCACATGTGGCCGTGTCAATCTCATCTTCTCAAACCCCTTACAGAGCTCACAGGCAAAGGAATGTTTGAATGGACTGATGAATGAGCAAAAGCTTTTGCTGAAATGAAAGCTATCATGGCTAGCAATATAATGATGCGCTACCCCAATCCAAACAAACCCTTTGAAATATATACTGATGCGTCTGACTACCAGATGGGGGCTGTGATCATGCAAGAAGGTAAACCAATCGCCTACTGGAGTTGTAAGCTCAATGCTGCACAACGCAATTACTCTGTGATGGAAAGAGAAATGTTGGCTGTTGTACATTGTTTGAAGGAGTTTTGGTCTATGGTATATGTCGCCAAATCAACTATTTTTACTGATCGTAAAAATCTCACAATGCAAACATTGAACACACAACAAGTTCTTTGTTGGCGTATGTTTGTTGAAGAATTTGTCCCTGATTTTGTCTATTTGCCTGGAAAAGATAACGCGATTGCCGACTGCTTCTCTCAGCTTCTGCCAATGGAGAAGCCGTCTGAAGGGAAGAGTCCAAATAAGGGTAAATTGATTGCGTTTGATAGATTACAGGTTCCTGTTGATCCTGAAGACAAAATCTACATGTTTGAAGATAATGTTCTGGAAAAGGAAAATGATTTGATTGCGCCACCAACAGAAGCCGAGCTCAACAGTACTTTTTGATGTCAGTTCTCCTGTTGCCAAGATGGAGATATTCATGAATATCTGACCATTGACAACATTGAAATGGAAGAGTCCTTTTTGAATCATCCTCCTCTACAAACGATGCCGAACCCAATCACAATGCCAAACATTCAACAACATCAAACTCAAGATCAACTGCTCATGCAATGAGCTCAACGCGATGCACAGCACTACCAGATCATGATAATTGACGAGCGACTCATCATCACCTGTCAAATCGATCCTGCACATCAAGACAATTGGAGAATTTACTTACCTTTGAGTTTGTTGATGATGTGATCACCTGGTATCACGTTGTGCTTGGACACAGAGGAAAAACGTCAATATCCTACAATTGCAAAGCAATTCTATTCTCCTGGATTGAAGCAAGAAATTGAACGATTCAATTGTGAAATTTTCCAACTCATGTTCAATACGGACAGTTACCTGAACGACACACGGATTTGGTTCCATGGTTCCCCGTTGCTATTGATTTGATTAGTCCATGGAAAATTGATGTCAACAGTAGAGAACTTGAATTCAATGTGTTGACTTGTATTGTTCCCATGACAAATCTCGCTGAACTTGCTTTGATCAAGAATAAAACTGCAGCACACGTGGCAAACATGTTCAAAATGCTGTGGTTGTTGCAATAGTTGGATTTCGGTTCTGGAGGACATCAGACAAGCGACAGGCTTGTCGTCATCCAAACCGATTGACAACTTTGTGGCCCATCAAGCCATCATTGCCAACCAGCCGTGCCAACATGCCCATCAAGTCGTCATGCAGAGGCACTGACCATAGCGATCTCCGATCCGTCTAATACAAAATAATCATCTCTACAGGAAATAACTATTCTAAAAGACTTGTTATCTACATGGAATGGGCAAAGCAAAAGCCTTGCGCGAAAACTCAAATTTCCCAAACCTTTACTGGATGTTTGCAATCCAGAAAGGCCGGTACAAAACCCACGTACAGAACTCCCGCAGGATTCAGTCTGGGATTTTCGTGGCGCTCAGACGTTTGTTAGTCCAAGCCCACAATTCCATGTTTTCAGATTCCCTGCAAAACCGACTCATAGGAATCTCCCGAATAAACGGACCAAACGGACATTTGTCCGTGTGTCCGATCGGACGTGTCGAACTGCTTCTATCAAGGAGTTTCCAATGAATGGTCTCCAAGAGAGCAATTTCAACAGCAATATCCTAGACCATACAAATGTATTCACGATCAAGGAGGCAAATTCATTCGCGAAGCTTGCTACTTGGGGAATCCATGATGGCGGAACCACTAGCAAGAATGCAACTGCAAATGCAATCTGTGAACGAATGCATTTGACAGTGGCAAACATTTTGCGAACCAGATACAACAATGCTGCTCCAAGCTTTCAAGTTGCTGTTGAAGCAATCAAACGAGCTCTTGCTGCTTGTGCTGTATCAACAGCTTTGATGAACAATACTCCTGGTGAGACTGTGTTTCATTGTGACATGCTACTAAACATTCCTGTGATTGTTGATCTACTTTCTATGCAGCAAAAGAGACAATACAAGATCAATGAAAACTTGAGGAGACAGAACGCAAAGCGAAAAGAATTTGATTTCAGAATTGGTGGAGAAGTTTTAATCAAGAATACTGATGGAAGGAAGTTGGATCCAAAGTACAGAGGTCCAAAATGTTTATACTAATGGTACAGTGGAAATTCAGCGAACAGATGCAATCTGTGAGAGGATCAACATCAAATGGCTTGTGCCATTCTGTCAAGTCTAATGGCCAATATGCTTGCATCGCCCATTGCGTCAAGAACCACCTCTGCAGTTGAATGGAGGATCAAGTGGATGTAAGGACGCCTTGTGACTTTTAATGTATGACCAATTGACTAGCTCTGATCATAGAAGGGAAGAGTGTAATTACCTTGGAGAGACCTTGGAACTAGATTAGACCCTTTGGAGGTCCAGACATAGCTTTAGGCCTAACTCTCAGAGAGACTCTATAACTTTTGTTGTGACCCATTCTTATCTATTCTTCTAGGCTGGGACATGCCAAAAAAACCTGTCAATGATTTTTTAGTCAAAAATGGCACTCCTTCCAGAAGGAGAAAAGCAAGCCACTATCCTTCCGTCTGCACAAAAGCGCTAAAATGCGCTGCTAGTCAGCCAAAAGAGATCAATTACTGGACAAAATATAGACAAGGAAAACTGGTGACTACCAGATCCTTTCAGACTACAAAACTACAGGTACAAAGGACAGATAATGATCCCCTCTTGATACAAGAATCAAGAAACATTGTAACAATTACAAAAAATGCAGTGTACCTCTTGTAAAGGACGCCCAAGCCGACACAGTCCAAGGATGACCATGCCCACTGAAAGCAAAGGCGATTCATTGGCTTTAGTGTGGAGGCAGACCAAAAAGCACATTCAGAGCTTTGATTGCAGATTGTACCACTCTTGGAATTTTGTCTTCTTCATACATAATAAATTCCACCAGACGAGCACGCTCTCTACCAATATGAGTCTTTGTTAACATATTGGCAAGATTTGTTTTGGTTCCTTCCCAAGCAACTCAAATAAGATCACTAGCACATTTTGAAAGAAAATGGTGATAAGCAACAGAATTGCTTTTCTTCTTCAAGACAGATTCTGGGTGACTTGCGTTCATCACAACAGAGTTGTTATCAACAAGAGTATGGCAATGGCCATCAATTGGTACGCCCATCATTTGCAATTTGTATACTAGACCTTCAACCAATTCAACACCAGTCTTCAATGCAGCAAATTCACTTCCAAAAGAACTTGTTTCAACAGCATTCTGCAACTTCAAACGATAGGTGCATGATTTAAGAGCATAAGAACACCTGTTTTTCTGGATTGACGTGTAACAAGATTGGAAGCATGTGAGGCATCAACAAACATCACAATCTTTACCACTCGTCCAAGGGCTTCTGGCATATCACGAGTCAGTACTTCTTTTGCCCATGGATAGAATTCATGCCATTCAGATTTTGGTATGTCAGTCATAGCTGTCAGAATAAAGCAAAAAGCGTGCCTTCACAGACTTCAAATGATGTTAGGGGGATGTTACTACTAGGTCCAAGCTCCATATGGCCATAGCAGTTTCTCTTTATCTTATCAAACAAATAAGCACCTTGTCTTAAGGACCAAGTCTTGATCTATTCTTCCATATGTAGGGACAGTAGATATTGTTATTGGCTTAGAGGTGCTTGGACCTCATTTCAATACTGCAGGTGGTTTTCATGGATTGTTACCTTGTTCCAAATCTGTCTAAATCCTTGCTAATGCCAGGATCAAAGCATATGTCATCTTGTGACACCATGCATGAAACCAGCACTGTGTTGTAGAGCCCCTCAATTGCAATCCTATTGCTGCTCCTCTTTTCTTCTCACTTTGTTTTTCTTTCCTTTTCCTTTCTTCTTTGTCTCTCCCCTTCTTTTCTCCCTAGGGGATCTAGTATAAACCGCTCCACCAGGATAAAAGCATATTTGATCTTGTGACGCCATGCATGAAACCAACACTGTGTTGTAGAGCCACTCAATTTCAGTCCTATTGCTTCTCCTCTTTTCTTCTCACTTTGTTTTTCTTTCCTTTTCCTTTCTTCTCCCTCTCTCCCCATCTTTTCTCCATAGGGGATCTAGTATAAACTGCTCCACCAGGATAAAAGCATATGTCATCTTGTGACGTTATGCATGAAACCAGCACTTTGTTGCAGAGCCCCTCAATTGCAATCCTATTGCTTCTCCTTGTTTCTTTTCAAATTGTTCTATTTTTGTTTTCCTTTCTTCTTCCTCTCTCCCCTTCCTTTCTCCATAGGGGATCTAGTACAAACTGCTAAACCAGCACTGTGTTGTAGAGCCACTCAATTGCAATCCTATTGCTTCTCCCCTATTGCTTCTCCTCTTTCCTCCTCACTTTGTTTTGCTTTCCTTTTCCTTTCTTCTTCCTCTCTTCCCTCCTTTTCTCCCCAGGGGTTCTTGTATAAACAGCTCCACCAAGATGAAAGCACATGTCATCTTGCGATGCCATGCATGAAACCAGCACTGTGTTGTAGAGCCCCTCAATTGCAATCCTATTGCTTCTCCTCTTTTCTACTCACTTTGTTTCTCTTTTCTTTTCCTTTCTTCTTCCTCTCTCCCCTTCTTTTCTCCGTAGGGGATCTAGTATAAGCCGCTATACCAACACTGTGTTGTAGAGCCCCTCAATTGCAGTCCTATTGCTTCTTTCTCACTTTGTTTTCCTTTTCCTTTCTTCTTCCTCTCTCCCCTTCTTCTCTCCCTACGGGATCTAGTATAAACCGCTCCAACAGGATAGAAGCATATGTCATCTGATGATGCCATGCATGAAACCAGCACTCAATTGTAATCCTATTGCTTCTCCTCCTCTTTTCTTCTCACTTTGTTTTTCTTTCTTTTTCCTTTCTTTTTCCTGTCTCTTCTTCTTTTCTCCCTACAGGATCTAGTATAAACCGCTCCACCAGGATAGAAGCATATGACGCCATGCATGAAACCAGCACTGTGTTACAGAGCCCCTCAATTGCAATCCTATTGCTTCTCCTCTTTTTTCTCACTTTGCTTTCCTTTCCTTTCTTCTTCCTTTCTTCCCTTCTTTTCTCCATAGGGGATCTAGTATAAACCGCTCCTCAAGGATAAAAGCATATTTCATCTTGTGACGCCATGCATGAAACCAGCACTTTGTTGTAGAGCCCCTTAATTCCAGTCCTATTGCTTCTCCTCTTTTCTTTTCACTTTTTTTTCTTCTTTCCTTTTCCTTTCTTCTTCCTCTCTCCCCTTATTTTCTCCCTACAGGATCTATTGCAAACCGCTCTGTGTTGTAGAGCCCCTCAATTGCAATCCTATTGCTTCTCCTCTTTTCTTCTCACTTTGTTTTTTCTTTCCTTTTCCTTTCTTCTTCCTCTCTCCCCTTCTTCTCTCCCTACGGGATCTAGTATAAACCGCTCCACCAGGATAAAAGCATATGTCATCTGATGATGCCATGCATGAAACCAGCACTCAATTGCAATCGTATTGCTTCTCCTCTTTTCTTCTCACTTTGTTTTTCTTTCTTTTTCCTTTCTTCTTCCTGTCTCTTCTTCTTTTCTCCCTACAGGATCTAGTATAAACAGCTCCACCAGGATAAAAGCATATGACGCCATGCATGAAACCAGCACTGTGTTATAGAGCCCCTCAATTGCAATTGCTTCTCCTCTTTTTTCCTCACTTTGCTTTCCTTTCCTTTTCCTTTCTTCTTCCTTTCTTCCCTTCTTTTCTCCCTAGGGGATCTAGTATAAACCGCTCCTCAAGGATAAAAGCATATGTCATCTTGTGATGCCATGCATGAAACCAGCACTTTGTTGCAGAGCCCCTCAATTGCAATCTTATTGTATCTCCTCTTTTCTTCTCACTTTGTTTTTCTTCCTTTTCCTTTTTTCTTCCTCTCTCCCCTTCTTTTCTCCCTAGGGGGTCTAGCACAATCAACACCACCAGCACTGTGTTGTAGAGCCCCTAAATTGCTTCCTCTCATTTCTTCTCACTTTGTTATTCTTTGCTTTTCCTTTTTTCTTCCTCTCTCCCCTTCTTTCCTTCCTAGGGGATCTAGCACAATCAACACCACCAGCACTGTGTTGTAGAGCCCCTCAATTGCAATCCTATTGCTTCCTCTCATTTCTTCTCACTTTGTTATTCTTTCCTTTTCCTTTCTTCTTTCTCTCTCCCCTTCTTTTCTCCCTAGGGGATCTAGTATAAACCGCTCCACCAGGATAAAAGCATATGTCATATTGTGATGCAATGCAAGAAACCAGCACTTTTTTGTAGAGCCCATCAATTGCAGTCCTATTGTGTCTTCTCTTTTCTTCTCACTTTGTTTTTCTTTCCTTTTCCTTTCTTCTTCCTCTCTCCCCTTCTTTTCTCCCTAGGGGATCTAGCATAATCCGCTCCACCATGATAAAAGCATATTTCATCTTGTGACGCCATGCATGAAACCAGCACTGTGTTGTAGAGCCCCTCAATTGCAGTCCTATTGCTTCTCCTCTTTTCTTCTCACTTTGTTGTTTCTTTCCTTTTCCTTTCTTCTTCCTTTCTCCCCTTCTTTTCTCCCTCGGGGATCACTAGCATGAAATAAAAATAGGGCGAGGAGTTTGCCTTGTGGTGGTGGGGTCTTTAGTGATTTTTTAGCCAATGAGAGTTAGTCGATTCACTAAAGATGAGTCTATTTTTAGTGGTATGAGCCAATCACAGGTCTCTATCACTAATGATAAATTTGGCTAACTCTCTTCTACACTAAATTAGTACTCTTCACAGACTCCAAATGATGTTAGGGGGATGTTACTCAGTCCAAGCTCCATCCGGCCATAGCAGGTTCTCTTTTTCTTATCAAACAAATAAGCACCTTGTCTTGAGGACCAAGTCTTGATCTATTCTTTCATATGTAGGGACAGTAGATATTGTTATTGGCTTAGAGGTGCTCGGACATCATTTCAATACTGCAGTTGGTTCAGACGCATAGAATATCACATCAAACATTCATAGATTGTTACCTTGTTCCAAATTGGTCTAAATCCTTGCTAATGCCAGGATAAAAGCATATGTCATCTTGTGATGCCATGCATGAAACCAGCACTGTGTTGTAGAGCCCCTCAGTTGCAGTCCTATTGCTTTTCATGTTCCAAAACCAAAACAGTTTTACGTACACAACTACTGAAAGGCTACGGCAGTAGAAACATGGTATTTGTTTACATAATTATCTGGGATGGTGAAATTTCATGTAGAATGCAGTACATACTGTGATAAATTATGGCACACAAAATTACGAGGGCTCCTACAGTATCATAGGTGTACGTACGTGGTATGTCTCATTTGGGAAATCGCGACTGTTGGGATGTGACAAAATATGAGTTTTTACGTTCCGAAAAGAAACTATTCAAGTACAAAGTTTTTCGATACGTACGATCGGACTTTGATCGTGATGTCAGGATTTGACGCAAGTATGCCAGACGCAAGTCTGTCGGACAATCTACATCCACACAAAAAGGGAATGACCCTATACAGTGAGATATTGGTGTTGTGTACAATGCAGTAGGGAATAATACAAGATGTCTCAAAGTACTGCATTCAACACAGAATTGTCGTAGAGGTCAAATTAAGTTCTGTAAACAAGGGTTTTCCAAGGGAAAATTGTTGAACATACTTTTGTGATTGAATCATCAATTCAAGCCAAATATTAATCAAATAGGAACAATTTCACTCAAAGTATACCTAGACACAGGAGAACTATTGTCGTGAATGTGTTGTACAGTTGATTACAAATTTAGATTGCAGAGAGTTTGTTCTAAGCGCTAAAGGCACTCACGATAGAGCACATTTTGCTTTATTCTAACATTCAATCACAAAAGGCAACAAAACAAAATTTACGTCAAGAACAGCACTGCCTTAGCTACAAAGGAGTGAGTGACTCGTTAGTGATGGGACGTTCTTCATCTGGTGGTGGAAGAGGACGTGTGATCAGAAAGTCAAGAGCAACTTGAGTTCAACAGTTGTGAAACATCTATTTTCAACGAAAGATGAAAACAATGGAAAGGCAAGATCGTCGTACGAAGATGCCGAAGACAGAGTGATTGACTACATCCAAGCTTCTGGAATGAAATGTTCTGAAGACATGGTGAAATCAATTTGAGATGGAAAGTCGATCGGCTTCAATCCGATTGCTCCAAGATTGAACGCTCCAACTCAAACTGAAGCTGATGCAAGAGAAACAGAGATGGCTCAAAACAAGATTCTCTATTCTGCAAAGCTCGACGAGAACATGCAAAGAGCAGCCTACTTTGAGACAAACAAGAGAACCGTCAAATCAAACATCATGCTGAAGTTTGTGACAAAGGCGATGGATATCAAGCTTTGAGGTGAAGCTGATTTCACGACTACTCTTGAAGATACAATCAAACTCTTGAAACGTATTGAACAATTCATGAAGAAGAGTGCTGATGCTGAGTATGACTTCTTGGATTTCTGGGAAGCGAATCAAAAGTACTTTGCTATGAAGCAAGGAACAACAGAAAACTTGATGCATTTCAAGGGACGATTCTTGAGGCAGGCTGAAGTCCTACAAGATCCATATGGCGTGGCCTGGTTCTGAGATTTTGCAGTCAAGACGAAAGCGTATGCTGCTATTGCTAGCACCAATACTGCTACTCAAAACAAGTTCAAGGATGATATCTTTGAAGCCGTTCTTGCAACAGGATTTCTGTGCAGCTGCAATCGAACGAGAACAGCTCCTCTGATGCTGGATCTTCAGACGAACTATTGCAGAGAAGTGGATTATTATCCAAAGACGGTCAGCAAAGCACAAGATATGTTGAAGATTCACATGGATGTGAGTAAAAATCCTAAAGTGAACCTCTACCAAGGAAAAGACCAACCTAATAAAGGTAAAGGAAAAGGAAAACAAAAGGGGAAACCAAAGGATGGAAAGAAGGCAGCATGTTATGTGTGTGGCAACAAAGACCATATGTCTCCATAATGCCCAGACAGACTGTTACCAAAGATCCAATGGAAGAATCAGGATCAATATGTTGGCTATGGGAAGAAGCTCAATCTTAATCAGATTGGAGCAACTGTCCCAGCTACTGTTCCATCCATAGTTCCTGGAGCTTCATCATCCACAAGTGGAGCATCAAGTGTTGCGGGAAGCGTTAACACACCTTTGCGACTTGCTGGTACTACAGGTAATCAAATGATGCAAGTTCCTTCTGGAATGCAGCTCATGCAGATTCCAACTCAAGCTGGCGGCACTGTTACTGTCCCTTATTCTATGAATGCTAACGGTGAGATTGCGTTCAGTGGAATGCAACTCAGCCAACAAGGCTTCAGTGGTGCTCAAGTGCGCCAAGGATTTGATGCAACTCAAGCTCCAACTCGGCAAGCTGTGAAAACTGGATATTTTGATACATCAAATGTCTTTCACAATGCTATCAAGGGAAAGGATGAGAATGGCAATGATGTCTATCTTATTCCATGTCCTGCTGGTACGACAAACAGTCTATCATGATGAAGATGGAATAGCCAATGTACTTGCTATGGGCGAGATGATTGCTGCGGGATACCGCATTACTATGGATACTGATGCTGACAATGCTTTTATTGTACATTGTGATGGAAACCAAAAGATGCGATTTGTGAATTGTAAGGGTGTGTATGTGTTGAAGCAACTTGGAGCAAATGTCGAACCAGGTGCCAAAGAGACAAGTGCGATGTACCGTCGCCAGATAAGCAACTTAAATAATCAACCCCATTTCGAACTTTCTTCAAACAAACAGAATGGATATGCTGGACTCGAGATGACCTCCAAGATGGCAACCGTTCGAAAGAACAAGGAAGGATTCATTCCAAGACAAGTCAAGGCTCTAACAGGCTTCTTTTGCCCGCGCTCTTACATTCTCTTCCAGTAGAATGGCGCTTTTGTTATCCTGATACAAGATATTTTTGTCGATCGGATACCCTTGCCACTCCATGAACAACTTCGTCCATAGTATCATCATGACAACATCGTCAACAGCAATCAGTTCCGCTTCCGTACTGCTTCTGCTGTTTAGCTTTTGCTTCTTCGACATCACTTGAGCTGCACCTCCTCCAAAGGACATAGTACCGCCAGTATAGCTCTTGAAATCTGGATGCACCGCAAATGATGCGTCGATCATCCATTTCATGACTCGTAGTGATTCTGCGGAAAGTGTCAGGTGATACAACAATGTACAAAACAAATATCGCATCATGCAAACACACTTCTTCCAATCCGACTCTGTAGGTTCTCGAACTCTCAAGGCAAGAATAGTAATCATTGGATGGATATCCAAAGGAGCTCTCTTAGAGACATAAAGTCCCCTTGCAACAGTAGTATGAAAGATTTGACGGTACTCAGCACTGAGTAACTTCCCTTTTCCAGCTTCCAGTAAATTGTTACCAGCTGGTGTTTCCTGCTTTGAATCCTTGTTGAACTTGACAGGAAAATCTTCCAACATGTTCTTGACATAGTCGTCCATGCGGATCTTAAGTTTTCCTTTCACCGAGAAATCCAAAGTCATTCCAAGATATCTGTGTATCTTTCCTCTGACGATTTTACATGCCTGGATCGAACCATATCTCATGTTCAACCACTCAGCAACTTCGTCATTTACTTTTGGATCCATGTGACTTGACATAAGATCGTCAAAATGAAATCTGATAGTTTGCTGTTTTTCATTAACAACTTTGTTAGCAACACACGGGTCATACGGATTGAAAGCAAATCCCTTTGCCTCCAAATCACTTCAAAATTGATTATAGAATAGGAGGCTCGATTGCAACATCCCATATATAGCACGCAGTACCCGCACATAGATTATTCGCTTTCCGTTCTCTAATACAACGTATTTGCGATACTCTGGGGCCATGTCAATCAATATCTGGACCATCATGCCAGTGATTTTCATGTAGACGCGATCTTCTCCTTCCTTAGCATCAGGCATATAAGTTTGAATGAAAGCGTTAGGCACGTCCAGCGTCATTACATCTCTACCTTCGTGTGCATCAATAACACAAGTAGTGGTGATTGCTTCCTGCAAATCAGTTGGACTTGCAGTGTCCTCTCGCGATACCCATTCACGAGTTCCATCGCCTTGGTATACTAGGCGACCTTTAATTGTCTTTTTGAATTGCTTCTCCGCAAGTAACATCATCGCTGATTGGGCCTTCTTTCGCTCAGACGTGGTCATGTCTTTAACAAATTCGGGAGTAAAACAATCTCTCAGGAGCGTTTGTCTCAATTCCTTATCCACAGCATCCTTTCCATCATCACCAAACTTCTTGAGTCCTTGATTGATGTAATACTGTTGGATGAAGTTCAGACCTTCATCAGTATCAAACTTGGCCTTGATCTGCATCATGCAACGAGCGATCAGAATAGCGTTGTGCTCTTCATAATCAGCTTTCATCTCATTCCCAATCTGTTGGAAACATAGATTGTGCTGTGCTTCAAGGATAGCTTTACTGTCTTTAGTACTGCGACTTCCTTCTTTGGTACAAATACCAGATTTTAACTTGTTCTTCAACGGTTTCAATTCTCTTTCTTGATGCTTGCATCATGTCGCAACTTGATTTTTGTTCTTATTGGCAGAACTGCCACTCCTGCTCGAAGGCCATTTTCTTGGTTTCTTTGGAACTTGGGAAAGGTTCAGCCCAGACATTGCAGCTTGCACATACGTTTGCCCAGAACGAGTGACTTTTGCTACTTGAGGCATTTCAGGCTCAAATACAATCTCTTCTTCTGGCGGCTCTTGTAGGTCCTCCAGATCAGTAGCGAGGCTCCCAATATCATCAGTTCCTCTATCGACATTTGCTTGATGGTGATTTAAATCGGCCACAATAGGTTCTTCCTCTTCATCGCCATCAACACCGGAATTGTCGTCTTATTCATAGTCATAATCTTCTTGGAATCTGACAGTGAGTTCTGGCAAATCATCGACACCATTGTCTGCATTTGCCATCTTGGAGGTCATCTCGAGTCCAGCATATCCATTCTGTTTGTTTGAAGAAAGTTTGAAATGGGGTTGATTATTTAAGTTGCTTAACTGGCGACGGTACATTGCACTTGTCTCTTTGGCACCTGGTTCGACATTTGCTCCAAGTTGCTCCAACACATACACACCCTTACAATTCACAAATCGCATCTTTCGGTTTCCATCACAATGCACAATAAAAGCATTGTCAGCATCAGTATCCATAGTAATGCGGTATCCCGCAGCAATCATCTCGTCCATAGCAAGTACATTGGCAATTACATCTTCATTGTGATAGACGGGAGGTGGAAATCTTCCTAGAAAACCTTCTTCGTCGAGAACTCTGCTGCCCACGTTAGTGTGCATGTCAAGTTCTTTATCAGCATGACGGAGTCCATGCATAAGCTCACCATTACAAATGGTGGTGTTTGTACAACCACTGTCCATGATGACATCATCGTACAACCCAAATGGATCTCTTTCCTTTCTGCGGCTTTGAATAAACTGCAGACCTCGATCTGCTTCAGTAGCAAGATCAGGCAAATCTTCATCTTCACTAGCATAGTGCCAGTTGGCTTGAAGCTCAACATTTGTCGCACCAGCAGGACATGGAATAAGATAGACATCATTGCCATTCTCATCCTTTCCCTTGATAGCATTGTGAAAGACATTTGATGTATCAAAATATCCAGTTTTCACAGCTTGCCGAGTTGGAGCTTGAGTTGCATCAAATCCTTGGCGCACTTGAGCACCACTGAAGCCTTGTTGGCTGAGTTGCATTCCACTGAACGCAATCTCACCGTTAGCATTCATAGAATAAGGGACAGTAACAGTGCCGCCAGCTTGAGTTGGAATCTGCATGAGCTGCATTCCAGAAGGAACTTGCATCATTTGATTACCTGTAGTACCAGCAAGTCGCAAAGGTGTGTTAACGCTTCCCGCAACACTTGATGCTCCACTTGTGGATGATGAAGCTCCAGGAACTATAGCTGGAATATTAGCTGGGACAGTTGCTCCAATCTGATTAAGATTGAGCTTTGTCCCATAGTCAACATATTGATCCTGATTCTTCCATTGGTAGCAGTCTGTCTGGGCATTATGGAGACATATGGTCTTTGTTGCCACATACATAACATGCTGCCTTCTTCTTTCCATCCTTTGGTTTCCCCTTTCGTTTTCCTTTACCTTTACCTTTATTAGGTTGGTCCTTTCCTTGGTAGAGGTTCACTCTAGGATTTTTACTCACTTCCATGTGAATCTTCATTATATCTTGTGCTTTGCTGACCGTCTTTGGATAATAATCCACTTCTCTGCAATAGTTTGTCTGAAGATCCAGCATCAGAGGAGCTATTCTTGTTCCATCGCTGTTGCATAGAAATCCTGTTGCAAGAACGGCTTCAAAGATATCATCCTTGAACTTGTTTTGAGCAGCAGTATCGGTGCTAACAATAGCAGCATACGCTTTCGTCTTGACTGCAAAATCTCAGAACCAGGCCACGCCATATAGATCTTGCAGGACTTCAGCCTGTCTCAAGAATCGTTCCTTGAAATGCATGAAGTTTTCCGTTGTTACATGCTTCATAGCAAAGTACTTTTGATTCGCTTCCCAGAAATCCAAGAAATCATAGTCAGCATCAGCACTCTTCTTCATGAATCGTTCAATACGTTTCAAGAGTTTGATCGGATCTTCAAGAGTAGTCGTGAAATCGGCTTCACCTCGAAGCTTGATATCCATCGCCTTTGTCACAAACTTTAGCATGATGTTTGATTTGACGGTTCTCTTGTTTGTCTCAAAGTAGGCTGCTCTTTGCATGTTCTCGTCGAGCTTTGCAGAATAGAGAATCTTGTTTTGAGCCATCTCTGTTTCTCTTGCATCAGCTTCAGTTTGAGTTGGAGCGTTCAATCTTGGAGCGATCGCTTGAAAAGTCGATCGACTTTCCATCTCAAATTGATTTCACCATGTCTTCTGAACATTTCATTCCAGAAGCTTGGATATAGTCAATCACTCTTTCCTCGGAATCTTTATGACAATCTTGCCTTTCCATTGTTTCCATCTTTCGTTGAAAATAGATGTTTTACAACTGTTGAACTCAAGTTGCTCTTGACTTTCTGAGGAGTCACACGTCCTCTTCCACCACCGGATGAAGAATTTCCCATCATCAACAAATCACTCACTCCTTTGTAGCTAAGGCAGTGCTGTTCTTGACGTAAATTTTGTTTTGTTGCCTTTTGTGATTGAATGTTAGAATAAAGCAAAATGTGCTCTATCGTGAGTGCCTTTAGCGCTCAAAAAAAAATCCCAATCTAAATTTGTAATCAATTGTACAACACATTCACGACAATAGTTCTCCTGTGTCTAGGTATACTTTGAGTGAAATTGTTCCTATTTGATTAATGTTTGGCTTGAATTGATGATTCAATCCCAAAAGTAAGTTCAACGATTTTTCCTTGGAAAATCCCTTGTTTACAGGACTTAATTCGACCTCTACAACAATTCTGTGTTGGATGCAGTACTTTGGGACATCTTGTATTATTCCCTACTGCATTGTACACAACAATCGATATCTCACTTGTATAGGGTCATTCCCTTTTTGTGTGGATGTAGATTGTCTGACAGACTTGCGTCCGGCATACTTGATTCGAATCCTGACATCACGATCAAAGTCCGATTGTACATGTCAAAAACTTTGTACTTGAATAGTTTCTTTTTGGAACGTAAAAACTCATATTTTGTCATATCCCAATAGATTCACTCCAAGACAAGTCAAGGCTGCGATGGAAGCGAGAAGTGCAATGCACATACTCAATGCTTCAAGCACCAAAAGTCTGAAGTATGCGATCCGATCTGGTCTCATCAAGAACTGTCCTATCACCGCAGAAGCGATCAATCATGCCGAAGCAATCTTTGGACCTGACGCCTCTACACTGAAAGGCAAGTCAACAAGACCAACTCCGAAGAAGACGTACGACAACTTCTTCAGTCCACCAGAGGAATTATATCAGCACAATCGATCTATTACTGTCTGTATTTATCACATGGAGATCGATAATGCAAAGTTTCTCACCTGCATTGATACCACTGTGCGTTATTGCTCATGTATTCCCGTGCAGAACCTGAAGACTGACCCTGTATTTGAAGCATTGGATAAGATATTCTGTTGCTACAACAAGGCAGGCTTTTGAGTCAAGATCATCAAGTGTGATCGGGCGTTCATTTCTCTCGCAGATGATATGCTAGACAATATGGGTGTTACTATTGATCTGTTCAACCACTCAGCAACTTTGTCATTTACTTTCAGATCCATGTGACTTGACATAAGATCGTCAACGTGAAATCTGATAGTTTGCTGTTTTTCATCGACAACTTTGTTCGCAACACACGGGTCATACGGATTGAAAACAAATCCCTTTGCCTCCAAACTGATTATAGAATAGGAGGCTTGATTGTAACATCCCATATATAGCACGTAGTACCCGCACATAGATTACTCGCTTTCGGTTCTCTAGTACAATGTTTTTGCGATACTCTGGAGCCATGTCAATCAATATCTGGACCATCATGCCAGTGATTTTCATGTAGACTCGATCTTCTCCTTCCTTACGCACGTCCATCGTCATTACATCTCTACCTCTGTGTGCATCAATAACACAAATAGCAGTTGGACTTGCAGTGTCCTCTTGCGATACCCATTCACAAGTTCCATCGCCTCGGTATACTAGGCAACCTTTAATTGTCTTTTCGAATTGCTTCTCCGTGAGTAACATCATCGCTGATTGGGCCTTCTTTTGCTCAGACGCGGTCAAATCTTTAACAAATTCGGGAGTAAAACAATCTCTCAGGAGCGTTTGTCTCAACTCCTTATCCACAGCATCCTTTCCATCATCACCAAACTTCTTGAGTCCTTGATTGATGTAATACTGTTGGATGAAGTTCAGACCTTCATCAGTATCAAACTTGGCCTTGATCTGCATCATGCAACGAGCGATCAGAATAGCGTTGTGCTCTTCATAATCAGCTTTCATCTCATTCCCAATCTGTTGGAAACATAGATTGTGCTGTGCTTCAAGGATAGCTTCACTGTCTTTAGTACTGCAACTTCCTTCTTTGGTACAAATACCAGATTTTAACTTGTTCTTCAACAGTTTCAATTCTCGATTTTTGTTCTTATTGGCAGAACTGTCACTCCTGCTTGAAGGCCATTTTCTTGGTTTCTTTGGAACTTGGGAAAGGTTCATCCCAGACATTGCAGCTTGCGCATACGTTTGCCCAGATCGAGTGACTTTTGCTACTTGAGGCATTTCAGGCTCGAATACAATCTCTTCTTCTGGCAGCTCTTGTAGGTCCTCCAGATCAGTAACAAGGCTCCCAATATCATCAGTTCCTCTATCGACATTTTCTTGATGGTGATTTAAATCGGTCACAATAGGCTCTTCCTCTTCATTGCCATCATCACCGGAATTGTCGTCTGATTCATCGTCATAATCTCATCTCCACAGAATCTGACAGTGAGTTCTGGCAAATCATCGACATCATTGTCTGCATCGGCCAAGAGCTCTTCTCTTTTGGAGTCATCGATATCATCGAATTGTCCACGTAGATTGAAATCACGTTCATCTTCATCTTCAGGTTCATAGTCCTGATCAAAGGCTTCTTCTAAGTAATCTTGTTCCGTGTCATCCACTCCTGCGATTTGATTGCCATCTTGAAATGTCTCCAAATCTCACTTCTTATCAAAGAACTTCATGGAAGTAACACCTTCGGCAGCAGCCCAAGCTTCAACACGCTGGATTACTTGGTCGGTAACGGGTAGTACAACGACCTTGGGTCGGGAAAGCATCTTCTTAGTATTGAGGTTGAGCACTCGGTGCCCAGTACGTTGTCCCTTCGTAGGTTCAATGTAAATTGCTTTGATACTTTGGGGTTCCATCAAATTGTTGGAATCTGTCCCAATTGCATGAACATTTGTCCAAGTTCAGCAACCATGTCACTCTTGTAGTTGATATTGACATTATCAATGAGTTGCTGCGGACTAAAATGTGATGAGATACTGTCTTTCTGGGGAAAGACATTCAATAGCTCGGCGGCTCGACGTCCAAGACATTCAGTGATCACTTTTGGAACCACTTTGTAGGGTAATCGTGCAAGAGCTACTCTGACTCTTTCTTTCAGCGTCCTATTGTTTCGCTCAGCGGTAGGCTCGTGGTCTCCAGCTGCAGTCGGGTCAATAGTAACACCCATATCGTCTAGCATATCATCCGTGAGAGGAATGAACGCCCGATCACACTTGATGATCTTGACTTGAAAGCCTGCCTTGTTGTAGTGGCGGAATATCTTATCCAATGCTTCAAATACAGGGTCAGTCTTCAGGTTCTGCACAGGAATACATGAGCGATAACGCACAGTGGTATCAATGCAGGTGAGAAACTTAGCATTCTCGATCTCCATGTGATCAATACAGACGGTAATAGATCGATTGTGCTGATATAATTCCTCTGGTGGACTGAAGAAGTTGTCGTACGTCTTCTTTGGAGTTGGTCTTGTTGACTTGCCTTTCAATGTAGAGGCGTCAGGTCCAAAGATTGCTTTGGCATGATTGATCGCTTCTTCGGTGATATGACAGTACTTGATGAGACCAGATCGGATCGCATACTTCAGACTTTTGGTGCTTGGAGCATTGAGTATGTGCATTGCACTTCTCGCTTCCATCGCAGCCTTGACTTGTCTTGGAGTGAATCCTTCCTTGTTCCTTCGAACGGTTGCCATCTTGGAGGTCATCTTGAGTCCAGCATATCCATTCTGTTGGTTTGAAGAAGTTCAAAAAACTGGCGAAGGTACATCGCACTTGTCTCTTTGGCACCTGTTTCGACATTTGCTCCAAGTTGCTCCAACACATACACACCCTTACAATTCACAAATCGCATCTTTCGGTTTCCATCACAATGCACAATAAAAGCATTGTCTGCATCAGTATCCATAGTAATACGGTATCCCACAGCAATCATCTCGCGCATAGCAAGTACATTGGCAATTCCATCTTCATCATGATAGACTGGAGGTGGAAATCTTCCTAGAAAACCTTCTTGGTCGAGAACTCTGCTACCCACGTTAGTGTGCATGTCAAGTTCTTTATCAGCATGACGGAGTCCATGCATAAGCTCACCATTACAAATGGTGGCGTTTGTACAACCACTTTCCATGATGACATGATCGTACAACCCAAATGGATCTCTTTCCTTTCTGTGGCTTTGAATAAACTGCAGACCTCAATCTGTTCAGTAGCAAGATCAGGCAAATCTTCATCTTCACTAGCATAGTGCCAGTCGGCTTGAAGTTTGACATTTGTCATAACAGCAGGACATGGAATAAGATAGACATCATTGCCATTCTCATCCTTTCCCTTGATAACATCGTGGAAGACATTTGACATATCAAAATATCCAGTTTTCACAGCTTGCGGAGTTGGAGCTTGAGTTGCATCGAATCCATGGCGCACTTGAGCACCACTGAAGCCATGTCGGCTGAGTTGCACTCCACGCATTCATAGAATAAGGAACAGTAACAGTGCCGCCAGCTTGAGTTGGAATCTGCATGAGCTGCATTCCAGAAGGAACTTGCATCATTTGATTACCTGTAGTACCAGCAAGTTGCAAAGGTGTGTTAACGCTTCCCGCAACACTTGATGCTCCACTTGTGGATGCCGCACAGGTAAATGGAAATTCCGTGGAAAAAAAGCAGTCGCTCCCAACTTTGAACTCCAAATTCAAGGTCTTTCAGGTGCTACTGAATCCTTGCGTCGCCTTGAACCAGACAACTCAGAACGCACTTTGGGAGTTATGCTTTCTCCCTTGGAAAACCTTGAGGCTCAGATGGTTGCTAAAGCTAAGGATTGGGCAGAACAGCTTCGACCCAACCTGCTTCACAAATATGATGTCCTTCCCCTCATCAGATCGACCATCATGAAGAAATTGGAGTATCCGATGGCGCTAACAACCCTGGATGCCCAGCAATGGACAGACATTATGTCTCCGGTACTTCAAGTGTGCCTTCCAAAGGCGGGTGTCTGTCGTAATTTCCCTCGGGATGTCGTATTTGCTCCGCTGTCCTATCAGGGTCTTGGACTTCCACATCCGTTTGGTTGTCAAGTGTTTAAGCATCTTGAGATGCTGCTCCGACTTATGGCCAACAGGACCAAAACTGGTGACTATATGGAGGCCAAGATCCAAGCCCATCAACTTGAAACGGGGACGTCCTTTGGACTTCTGCAACAAGTCTAGACCAACACGGCGATCCTTGCTTCAGACACGTGGTTGAAACGAGTCTGGCATGAGCTTGAAGGTTTGGACATCTATGTCGCCTATGACTCTCCAGCCCTCTCCCTTTGATGTACGGACGACTCCCTTCTGATGGATCTCTTTATCAACTTGGAGGTTGAACAGGAGGAACTTTTATGGCTCAATTGGTGTCGAATGTTCCTTCAGGTATGCACAGTGTCTGACATTGTGACTGCTGATGGCAGGTTTATTCGTCGCTCCGCGTGGAATGTGCTCAGGGATGAGTGCTGCCGCTTGCCATACCAATGGCCAAGGGCAGCTCGCCCAACAAGGCAACACTGGGTCCTGTGGCAGACCACCTTGTCCAGAGCCTTGCTTGCCTCCAACGGGCCACATCACCCACTACAACAGCCCTTGGGGCCATGGACTGACCGTCTGGAGGACTGGAATTGGTTATTGTCCCCCACCACAGGCCTTTTCCACCGCCGTGGGGCAACCTAGAAACACTTTAGCTCTGAGGGCTCTCCCACCACGTCACGTCGCTACGCACCAGGGCCGTGCCATCCTTCCTGCCCATGGTGGACGGCACCGCTCCCTTCTGGCGCTCTTCGTGCTACGGTTCGCTCCATCACAGGATCTGACAGGGTTCTTCTCACCGGTACTGGCCGTGCCACTGAACCGCCCTCTCCCTCCAGGCCATCCATTCTTCACGTGTGGCAGACAGCTGCCGAGCTCTGCACGGACTACTACGGATGGGTCCCCGATGAGATCGAGGTTCACGGTGACGAAGCCACATTAGCTGATGCTCTGTTGGACGGTCGCCTGTGTGTGATCAGCGATGGATCCTTCAAGAACGAGTTGGGGACCGTGGCGGTTCAAATCCTGGTGAAGCATGGAGGATGCCATCGAATCATCATCCGGTGTCAGACTCCCGGTTTACCCCAGGACCAGAGTCCATACCGCAGCGAGCTCATTGGTCTGTTGGCCGGCATAATGGCGGTTGATTGGCTTCTTGAGCAATGGTTCCCAAACATTTCGGCCGGCCCCAAGGTACGGATTGCTTGTGATGGCCTCTCTGCTATTGAGATGGCTTTCAAAGATCGTCCCCTGTCTCCAACGGATGCTCAGTTTGACCTGGTATCGTCCATTCGGGAAGCGATCCTTCGGTCCTCGGTGGATTGGGCGCCCCAGCACGTGTATGGACATCTCGACAAGTCCAATCTCTTTGATGAACTTTCTTGGTGGGAGAAACGGAAACTTGAGGTGGATGGTATGGCGGTGGAGTACCGTAAGGAACTTGAGACGGCCAATCATCTTATAGCCCCCAACCCTCGTTTTTTCACTGAACTTGCGGCACTGTACGTGGCCGACACCAAACAGTCACGCCTTGATCCCCGGTTCATCCAAGAGTGTGTGACTCTTCCGGCCCTACGCTCCCGCTGGAGGGACAAAGGTACTATCTCCGCTGAAGCCGAGTCTGAGATTGCCTGGGACACAATGGGTCGCGCCATGCGATCTCTTCCTGCAGGACTACAAAGGTGGTCTACTAAACATTGTGTGGGCATGTGCGGCACAGGCAAATTTAAAGTTCTATGGGGTCTGGAGACATCAGCAGCTTGCCCACGCTGCGGCGACTTCAAGGATCATCTGCATGTTCCCCGCTGCCGCGCTGCTTTGGCAACAGCTGAATGGGATCGTCGCACTGCAGCCTTCTCCGCGTGGCTAGACCTGCAACTGACAGGCCCTTCCATCAAAATAGCGATCCTACAGCTTCTTCGGGGCGTTTGCACACCTCCTTCATTTCCCCCAAGGCCCATCTCCTCTTTGGTTCGGCCGGCCTTCTTGGCTCAGCAGGTGATTGGGTCTCAAGGCCTTTTGGAGGGACGCTTTGCCTCATCTTGGCTTCCACTCCAACAACAATATTATGACGAGATAAGATGTCACCGATCTGTCTCTCTTTGGGCGTCCCGCCTCTCACAACAGCTGATCTCCATCGGCTTCTACATGTGGGAGCAACAGAACTCCGTTCAACATTCGGATGATAACGTTCAATTACGTGAACATCACAGTACTGTCAATGAGGGGATTCACTCCCAGTTTGATATGGGTCCCGATGACTTGCCTAAGGAAATTCAACCAATGCTAACATGCCGTCGACGAGTCCTTTGCAAGTCATTGGTAGACAAGGAAGAGTGGCTTAAGTTGCTTCGTCAGGAACGCAGAGATTTCCTTCGCTCCATGAAAGCACCACGCCGCAGTCTGCGGACTATTTTCTCCGCTGGACCCTGCCCAACTTTTTGCGGGACCTTACATGCCCCAAATTCACCCCGCCACGTTGCGGGAGAAGTCTTTACCCCCTTGGGAGACTTGAGCAACTTCTGTTCAAAATACAGATGCCTCATATGGTTCAAACTTGTTGTTGACTCACCGCTTTACAGTACTTGACCTTTACAGCCGAATATTTCACCGGCAATCAAATGCCCATAGAGTAGCATATTAACGATTAATGTCTCAGTTATTATTATTATTATTATTATTATTGTGGATGCTGAAGATCCAGGAACTATAGCTGGAACAGTAGCTGGGACATTTGCTCCAATCTGATTAAGATTGAGCTTCTTCCCATAGTCAACATATTGATTCTGATTCTTCCATTGGGTCTTTGGTAGCAGTCTGTCTGGGCATTTTGGAGACATATGGACTTTGTTGCCACATACATAACATCCTAACCCTAACCCTAACCCTAACCCTAACTGTCTGGGCATTTTGGAGACATATGGACTTTGTTGCCACATACATAACATGCTGCCTTCTTCTTTCCATCCTTTGGTTTCCCCTTTCCTTTTCCTTTACCTTTACCTTTACCTTTACCTTTATTAGGTTGGTCCTTTCCTTGGTAGAGGTTCACTCTAGGATTTTTACTCACTTCCATGTGAATTTTCAACATATCTTGTGCTTTGCTGACCGTCTTTGGATAATAATCCACTTCTCTGCAATAGTTCGTCTGAAGATCCAGCATCAGAGGAGCTGTTCTCGTTCGATCGCTGTTGCATAGAAATCCTGTTGCAAGAACGGCTTCAAAGATATCATCCTTGAACTTGTTTTGAGCAGCAGTATCGGTGCTAACAATAGCAGCATACGCTTTCATCTTGACTGCAAAATCTTGGAACCAGGCCACGCCATATAGATCTTGCAGGACTTCAGCCTGTCTCAAGAATCGTTCCTTGAAATGCATGAAGTTTTCCGTTGTTACATGCTTCATAGCAAAGAACTTTTGATTCGCTTCCCAGAAATCCAAGAAATCATAGTCAGCATCAGCACACTTCTTCATGAATCGTTCAATACGTTTCAAGAGATCCATCGGATCTTCAAGAGTAGTCGTGAAATTGGCTTCACCTTGAAGCTTGATATCCATTGCCTTCGTCACAAACTTCACCATGATGTTTGATTTGACGGTTCTCTTGTTTGTCTCAAAGTAGGCTGATCTTCGCATGTTCTCGTCAAGCTTTGCAGAATAGAGAATCTTGTTTTGAGCCATCTCTGTTTCTCTTGCATCAGCTTCAGTTTGAGTTGGAGCGTTCAATCTTGGAGCAATCGGATTGAAGCCGATCGACTTTCCATCTCAAATTGATTTCACCATGTCTTCTGAACATTTCATTCCAGAAGCTTGGATATAGTCAATCACTCTTTCCTCGGCATCTTTATGACGATCTTACCTTTCCATCGTTTCCATCTTTCGTTGAAAATAGATGTTTCACAACTGTTGAACTCAAATCGCTGTTGACTTTCTGAGGAGTCACACGTCCTCTTCCACCACCGGATGAAGAACGTCCCATTGTCAACGAATCACTCACTCCTTTGTATCTAAGGCAGTGCTGTTCTTGACGTAAATTTTGTTTTGTTGCCTTTTGTGATTGAATGTTAGAATACAGCAAAATTTGCTCTATCGTGAGTGCCTTTAGCGCTCAGAACAAACTCTCTGCGATCTAAATTTGTAATGGATTGTACAACACATTCACAATAATAGTTCTCCTGTTTCTAGGTATACTTTGAGTGAAATTGTTCCTATTTGATTAATATTTGACTTGAATTGATGATTCAATCCCAAAGGTAAGTTCAACGATTTTTCCTTGGAAAATCCCTTGTTTACAGAACTTGATTCGACCTCTACGACAATTCTGTGTTGGATGCAGTACTTTGGGACATCTTGTATTATTCCCTACTGCATTGTACACAACAATCGATATCTCACTTGTATAGGGTCATTCCCTTTTTGTGTGGATATAGATTGTCCTACAGACTTGCGTCCGGCATACTTGCGTCGAATCCCGACATCACGATCAAAGTCCGATTGTACATGTCAAAAACTTTGTACTTGAATAGTTTCTTTTTGGAACGTAAAAACTCATATTTCGTTATATTCCAACACACTTCTGCCATTGTGACAATCACCATTGGCAGCAATGGGACATGCTCTCATTCACTGTTTATTTTTGTTTTGTATTTTCATTTTGGACATATACATACTTGTCTGACCTATTCCTGTGGACCAAGAATCAGATCCCTGAACTTGCGAAACTTCTCACCTTGCAATGGCTTAGTCATGAAATCCGCAATCATATCGTCAGTTGGATAGTATTTGATCTTAACATTTCCTTTCTCAACTTGATCTGTGATAAAGAAATAACGAATATCGATAGCTCGGCTTCTTTTGCCCGCGCTCTTGCGACCATTATCTTCCAGTAGAATGGCGCTTTTGTTATCCTGATACAAGATATTCTTCTCGATCAGATACCCTTGCCACTCCATGAACAACTTTGTCCATAGTATCATCATGACAACATTGTCAACAGCAATCAATTCCGCTTCTGTACTGCTTCTGCTGTTTAGCTTTTGCTTCTTTGACATCACTTGAGCTGCACCTCCTCGAAAGGACAGAGTGCCGCCAGTATAGCTCTTGAAATCTGGATGCACTGCAACTGATGCGTTGATCATCCATTTCATGACTTGTAGTGATTCTGCGGAAAGTGTCAGGTGATACAACGATGTACAAAACAAATATCGCATCATGCGAACACACTTCTTCCAATCAGACTCTGTAGGCTCTCAAACTCTCAAGGCAAGAATAGTAATCATTGGATGGATATCCAAACGAGCTCTCTTAGAGACATAAAGTCCCCTTGCAACAGTAGTATGAAAGATCTGACGGTACTCAGCACTGAGTAACTTCCCTTTACCAGCTTCCAGTAAATTGTTACCAGCTGGTGTTTCCTGCTTTGAATCCTTGTTGAACTTGATAGGAAAATCTTCCAACATGTTCTTGACATAGTCGTCCATGCGGATCTTAAGTTTTCCTTTCACCAAGAAATCCAAAGTCATTCCAAGATATCTGTGTATCTTTCCTCTGACGATTGTGCATGCCTTGATCGAACCATATCTCATGTTCAACCACTTAGCAAATTTGCCATTTACTTTCGGATCCATGTGACTTGACATAAGATTGTCAACATGAAATCTGATAGTTTGCTGTTTTTCATCGACAACTTTGTTAGCAACACACGGATCATACGGATTGAAAACAAATCCCTTTGCCTCCAAATCACTTCAAAAACTGATTATAGAATAGGAGGGAACACCAAGGCATACGTACACGCAGGAGATATTACTATCAAGATAATGAAAGCGCGATGCGTTTAGAAAAGAATGGTAGACAGTCTGCGAGCAAAAGATCGCGACACATAGACATCAGATTTTTCTTTATTAAGGATCGCATTAAGAGAGGTGACATTCACCTGCTCTATTGTCCCACGGAGGACATGCTGGCCGATTTCTTCTCCAAGCCACAACAAGGCAGCTTGTACACACGCTTCCGCGACATGGTGATGGGCATTACGCCAGTACCACCCGTGGAAGAGCCCTCCTTGACTTGCCCGACATCTCAGGAGCGAGTTGGAAGTAGTATTTTTTAGGCTGGCGGACAACGTACGGACGGCGAGAATATGACCAAAATGACCAGACCAACTCCATTTCCCGCCGAGATTCAAAACCTCACGCCGGCATACCCGCTCGCCGGCCTTCTATCCGTTAGATTTGAATTCATCAATCATTCATTCACTCACGGTTTCATCAAAATTGCAATGAAAATGAAGGTAAGTTTCGGATGGGCGTTGCATCTCCTCCATACAAGTTTCTTACACAACTCTATTATCGCTCTATGCGCAGTGATGGGACAGATCGAATGAATGTGGTTGCGCTTCTGCAATTCATTTCCCTATCACTATCATGATTCAAGACCTTTCCAAAATTGCTTTCAATGATGCCAACGGGAAAGAGACCTTGATAAACCAACGAGACCCCACCAACTCAAGTAAACCATCTATGATACTACGAAAGATCTACGCTTGGGTCTATTTGGCCTGTATATCCGCGAAGTTTTGAACGAGATTTTGTCATTCTGTTGTTGCCAAAACAACGTTCAGATGTCAACAAGTCAAATGCTCTACATTGCGAATTCACCGACCTGTTATTCTACGAATGAGCTACGTTTGCGTCTTTCTTTCTGCGAAGCATTGAATGAGGTTCTGCCATTCTACGTTGGCAAGATAATTTTTGTAGTGAAACGCATCAATCAACAAAATTCGCTTCGTTACGGGTATTCCTATTCTACGAGCACAACCTCTTCTTCTTTGAGCTTTCTCGATGTGTCATTGCCACCAACGAAAGCACTCCTATAATAGAAAGAGGCGCAATAAATGTCTCTTAGTCTTGGACGAATGCAACGTGGCTCCGTCGCATCAAAGATCATAAGCAGACACCATGCTCGCGATTCCTACGTTTCAATAGATTGGCATTTCAATAAGACTATAGACATACAATTATTCTGATTATTCTAATATTCTTATGACAGATTGATTTGACAGGGGAAGAGAAGAACCTGGTTACCAGGTACTGCTAGTAGTCTCAACCGTTCGTCGTCACAAGTTGTAGCCAAGAAGAAGCAATTCTTCCAAGCACCAAGTTGGTGCATTTGGATCTTGTCTTTGGGAACTCTAATAAAAGGACCTCTTGGGAAAAGGTGCCAATTTAACGGACCTCTTGGGAGAAGGTGTCAAAGCCAATGAAAATAAAAAGGATCTCATTGGCTAGGTGTAATAGAATTCTGCTTACGTATGCGCTGGTTTTCTTCCGACTTGCAACATTTCGATTCCCTACGACAATCATTATTTCGGAGATCCACAATTTTTCACTCCTTTGCGGAGTCTTTGTGACTCCTTTCCTCACGGGACTGCATTTCTGGCGGCAAAATGAGCCAGCAAGGGTCAAATTCAATCCGGTAGGTCCATGTGAAACACTTTGCACGCGTTCTTTTTGCCCAACTTGTGTCTCACTTCTTTTTGAATTTTCCGTTAGTTGTCCGTGTGGCGGAAGAAGGCCAGATGGTTTGGGTGACTCCTAAAAGACCTTGTTCAAGAGAAAATACAAAACAAAATAAACAGTGAATGAGAGCATGTCCCATTGCTGCCAATGATGATTGTCACAATGGCAGGAGTGTTTTGGGATGTGACAAAATATTCAAGTACAAAGTTTTCGACACGTATGATCGGACTTTGATCGTGATGTCAGGATTCTGCATGTATGCCAGACGCAAGTCTGTCAGACAATCTACACAAAAAGGGAATGACCCTATACAAGTGAGATATTGGTGTTGTGTACGGCACAGAAGGGAATAATACAAGATGTCCCAAAGTACTGTATTCAACACAAAGTCCTTGTAGAAGTCAAATCGAGTTCTGTAAACAAGGGATTTTCCAAGGGAAAATTGTTGAACTCACTTTTGTGATTGAATCATCAATTCAAGCCAAACATTAATCAAATAGGAACAATTTCACTCAAAGTATACCTAGACACAGGAGAACTATTGTCGTGAAAGTGTTGTACAGTCGATTACGAATTTAGATTGCAGAGAGTTTGTTCTGAGCGCTAAAGGCACTCACAATAGAGCACATTTTGCTTTATTCTAACATAGAGAGATGATGATGAAAAATCTGATCAAGATCCCAATCCAAATGTCAAATATCAGAATGATGAGGATCTAAATGAAAAGATTCAAGAAATTGAAGAAGACATTTAAAAAGACAGAACAAATCAAAGAAACACGCGAAACATATGAGGAAAATGATGATTTAATTGATCGAATTCAAGATGAAATCAGAGAATTTGAAAATCAAGTCAATGATGTTCGCGAATTTGTGGTGAATTTGGATGATAATGAGAATGAAAATGATGAATCTAGGTCTCCACAGTCCCACGTAGACAACTTTGCTCAGATCAGAATACTGTGAGGTTGTAGTGGTTTGTCCGAGTCGATGTCCTAAAGCTATTTTGAAAGGTCTAACACTATTTGATGAAGTTCCAAAGGCCGAAACTAGGATCATGGCGTCCAATGAGATGTTGGAAAAAATATGCGCACCTTTGTCGTTCCAGAGGGAGTGTAAACTCAAGTTTTCTGCGAAACTATTCAAAAAGCTTCAATGTCACGTTTTATAACAATCAATGTCCCATCAATTTTAAACTACTTATTGTCCAACGGAAATGCAACCAATTGTTAATAGGCAAACATGATCTGAAACTGAAAACACATTCCTCACATCAAAACCCCACGGGAATGATTTCAAACAATGTGTGGGTCCAAACCAAACTTTAATTTGTCGTTACACCGCAGGAGCAATTTCAAATCAATGCCGCTGCTGGTTCACAAGGGACGGATGCAAAGCTCATCCTCTTTCACCCCGCAATCCATCATCCCACAGCAGCAGCATGAGGCAATCAAAAAGAAGGAAGAAGGTTGTGAATGAAATGGAAATTGGCGATGGAAGTGAGGATGATGATCATGGAGTAGGCAACCATAAACTCCATTATGATGATGATAATGATGATGTTGAGGATGCATCGTCTATGCATGATGAGCCAAGTGAAGAGCAGCGCAATGATGAAAACACTACAGAAAGACGCAATGATGAATCTGGACACGAAAGTAATTTTCTAGATATTTCTTTCTTCAAACTTCCCTGTCTACAACAGGCCAAGCTTGAATCGCCACAGAGCCCATTTGACGTTCTGGCGGGTAGCTTCATTGCTCTCAAACATACCTTATTGAAGCATCACTGGTTTCAGTTGTTCTACCGTGAAACTGAAGAGAGCAAGGCTTATGAAGGTATTGGAATTTTCCACGGAAGAGTCCAGATATGGTGGAGAGTATAATGAGGATTTGAGCCGCGGTCCTGCGCGACTGGAAAATGTATTGAAACATAGTCTCAGGCTGTACAAATACGTTGAGGAACAGAAAGCAGTGGACAAAGAAGAGTATCAGCGCAAATTGAAGATCACAATGGCAAATCTCTGTGACAAGAGCGCGCATGTAAGTACAAGACAAAATCAAGAATATGCTGCCCAAGTGACAAACGCATTTGGAATGAATCACAGAAGATCGGCACGAGAGAAACAGCAAGGGGTAGATATAACTCCGCACGTGGCTGGAAGAATTGTCTTCGCAAAGTGTCTGAAAGGCGAGAATATGAACGCAATGGTCCTTGAGGCTGTTGCTCGAGAACTTCTCAGTGAAACTGACAAGGCTGCTTACGATGAAGGTAAACCTATTTCTATCAACTACAGCACGCTCAGAAATTTGATTGCCGATGATGTAGTCAGCAGATGGAAGAAGGAGCACATAGACGAACCACTCAGTGAAGAAAGAGAAAAAGTTGTTCGAAAAACATTTCAGCCAATATCTGAAGCAACATTTGTTCAGAAGAAACGAGGATAAAGTCAGAAGGAATTGGTTCAGTTCAGTTGCTTTTTAAACTTAGTATAGTCCTATTACAAAACTTGCACTGCTCCTCTGTAGTTTTTACCAAAATGATGAACCAACGTTGCTTCTGCAGTCACTCAAATCTGCACTGAAATCAGAAGATTGACTCGTACGACTGTTGTATTATGCCTCATGCGCGAGTGTCGCGCATATAAGTTGTCTACATGGGACTGCGGAGACCTAGAATCTGACAATAATTTGGACAAATCTAGTGACAAGGATAATTATGAAAATGATGAAGTGAATAAAGAGGACATATTCAGTCCAAGGAAAACCGGGAGTTGTAAATTTATGTTCAAGATGGAATAAAAATGAGACCAGCCAAATGTAATAATCTGTATCGACCAAGGTATAATCAACAATACCTGAATCGAAAGAAACCGGAGTGCAATTTGTTAAAGAACAGGAGTGCAATGAGAAAAAAGGAAAAAGTCAAGAAATTGAAAGGTTATTTGAATGAAATAATTTCAATGAAGGAAAATTCAAGGAAAAGGATTCCAAAAAAAGAGTCAAATTACAATCTACGATTCCAACAGGTTGGAAGTGACAAGAAAACGAAATACGGAAAAGATAAGGCAAATCTGATTGCGCGATTCATGCAACAAATCAAGGATAAAGTTCAAAATGAAGGCGTATCATTTATTCAACAATACTACCTAAATAAGGGACTGAAATTATTCAAAGAAGAAGGTAATAAGGCTGTGATGAAAGAACTTGGTCAATTGATACAAAGAGAATGTTGGGAACAAATTCATGTTGAAGAAATGACTGATTTGGAAAAAAAGAAGAGCCCAAGTTGCTATGATGTTATTAGCTGAGAAAAACACTGGAGAAATAAAAGGAAGATGTGTATACAAAGGAGATGGAAGTTATCTGCAGGCAATGATTATAGGGATTTTAATGGCTAATGGTTGATAGAAGAGTTTCATTGTGCCAAATTTAATCAAGTTCTGTAAACAAGGGATTTTCCAAAGGAAAATTGTCAAACTTACTTTTGTGATTGAATCATCAATTCAAGCCAAATTAGTAATCAAATAGGAACAATTTCACTCAAAGTATACCTAGACACAGGAGAACTATTGTTGTGAAAGTGTTGTACAATCGATTACAAATTTAGATTGCAGAGAGTTTGTTCTGAGCGCTAAAGGCACTCGCGATAGAGCACATTTTGCTTTATTCTAACATTCAATCACAAAAGGCAACAAAACAAATTTACGTCAAGAACAGCACTGCCTTATCTACAAAGGAGTGAGTGATTCGTTGACGATGGGACGTTCTTCATCCGGTGGTGGAAGAGGACGTGTGACTCCTCAGAAAGTCAAGAGCAACTCGAGTTCAACAGTTGTGAAACATCTATTTTCAACGAAAGATGAAAACGATGGAAAGGCAAGATTGTTGTACAAAGATGCCAAAGAAAGAGTGATTGACTACATCCAAGCTTCTGGAATGAAATGTTCTGAAGACATGGTGAAATCAATTCGAGATGGAAAGTCGATCGACTTCAATGCAATTGCTCCAAGATTGAACGCTCCAACTCAAACTGAAGCTGTTGCAAGAGAAACAGAGATGGCCCAAAACAAGATTTTCTATTCTGCAAAGCTCGACGAGAACATGCGAAGATCAGCATACTTTGAGACAAACAAGAGAACCGTCAAATCAAACATTATGCTTAAGTTTGTGACGAAGGCAATGGATATCAAGCTTCAAGGTGAAGCCGATTTCATGACTACTCTTGAAGATCTGATCAAACTCTTGAAACGTATTGAACAATTCATGAAGAAGAGTGCTGATGCTGAGTATGATTTCTTGGATTTCTGGGAAGCGAATCAAAAGTTCTTTGCTATGAAGCATGTAACAACGGAAAACTTCATGCATTTCAAGGAACGATTCTTGAGACAGGCTGAAGTCCTGCAAGATCTATATGGCATGGCCCGGTTCCAAAATTTTGCAGTCAAGACGAAAGCGTATGCTGCTATTGCTAGCACCAATACTGCTGCTTAAAACAAGTTCAAGGATGATATCTTTGAAGCCGTTCTTGCAACAGGATTTCTGTGCAACTGCGATCGAACAAGAACAACTCCTCTGATGCTGGATCTTCAGACAAACTATTGCAGAGAAGTGGATTATTATCCAAAGACGGCCAGCAAAGCACAAGATATGTTGAAGATCATGGATGTGATTAAAATCCCGGGAGTGAACCTCTACCAAGGAAAAGACCAACCTAATAAAGGTAAAGGTAACGGTAACGGTAACGGTAACGGTAACGGTAACGGTAACGGTAACGGTAACGGTAAAGGTAAAGGTAAAGGTAAAGGTAAAGGTAAAGGTAAAGGTAAAGGTAAAGGTAAAGGTAAAGGAAAAGGAAAAGGAAAAGGAAAAGGGAAACCGTAGGATGGAAAGAAGGCAGCATGTTATGTGTGTGGCAATGAAGACCATATGTCTCCAAAATGCCCAGACAGACTGCTACCAAAGATCCAATGGAAGAATCAGGATCAATATGTTGACTATGGGAAGAAGCTCAACCTTAATCAGATTGGAGCAACTGTCCCAGCTACTGTTCCAGCTATAGTTCCTGGAACTTCAGCGTCCACAAGTGGAGCATCAAGTGTTGCAGGAAGCGTTAACACACCTTTGCGACTTGCTGGTACTACAGGTAATCAAATGATTTAAGTTCCTTCGCAGCTCAATGCAGATTCCAACTCAAGGTGGCGGCACTGTTACTGTCCCTTATTCTATGAATGCTAACGGTGAGATTGCACTCAGTGGAATAGAACTCAGCCGACAAGGCTTCTCAAGTGCGCCAAGGATTCGATGCAACTCAAGCTCGAACTCCGCAAGCCATGAAAACTGGACATTTTGATATGTCAAATGTCTTTCACCATGCTATCAAGGGAAAGGATGAGAATGACAATGATGTCTATCTTATTCCATGTCCTGCTGGTACGACAAATGTCAAACTTCAAGCCGACTGGCACTATGCTAGTGAAAACAAAGATTTGCCTGATCTTGCTACTGAAGCAGATCAAGGTCTGCAGTTTATTCAAAGCCGCAGAAAGGAACAAGATCCATTTGGGTTGTACGATCATGTCATCATGGACAGTGGTTGTACAAACACCACCATTTGTAATGATGAGCTTATGCATGGACTCCGTCACGCTGAGAAAGAACTTGACATGCACACTAACGTGGGCAGCAGAGTTCTAGAGGAAGAAGGTTTTCTAGGAAAATTTCCACCTCCAGTTTATCACAATGAAGATGGAATTGCCAATGTACTTGCTATGCGCAAGATGATTGCTGCGGGATACCGCATTACTATGGATACTGATACTGACAATGCTTTTATTGTGCATTGTGATGGAAACAGAAAGATGCGATTTGTTAATCGTAAGGGTGTGTATGTGTTGGAGCAACTTGGAGCGAATGTCGAACCAGGTGCCAAAGAGACAAGTGCGATGTACCGTCGCCAGTTAAACAACTTAAATAATCAACCCCATTTCGAACTTTCTTCAAACAGACAGAATGGATATGCTGGACTCGAGATGACCTCCAAGATGGCAACCGTTCGAAAGAACAAGGAAGGATTCACTCCAAGACAAGTCAAGGCTGCAATGGAAGCGAGAAGTGCAATGCACATACTCAATGCTCCAAGCACCAAAAGTCTGAAGTATGCGATCCGATCTGGTCTCATCAAGAACTGTCCTATCACTGAAGAAGCGATCAATCATGCCGAAGCAATCTTTGGACCTGACGCCTCTACATTGAAAGGCAAGTCAACAAGACCAACTCCGAAGAAGACATATGACGACTTCTTAAGTCCACCAGCGGAATTATATCAGCACAATCGATCTATTACTGTCTGTATTGATCACATGGAGATCGAGAATGCTAAGTTTCTCACCTGCATTGATACCACTGTGTGTTATCGCTCATGTATTCCTGTGCAGAACCTGAAGACTGACCCTGTATTTGAAGCATTGGATAAGATATTCTGCCGCTACAACAAGGCAGGCTTTCAAGTGAAGATCATCAAGTGTGATCGGGCGTTCATTCCTCTCACGGATGATATGCTAGACAATATGGGTGTTACTATTGACCCGACTGCAGCTGGAGACCACGAGCCTACCGCTGAGCGAAACAATAGGATGTTGAAAGAAAGAGTCAGAGTAGCTCTTGCACGCTTACCCTACAAAGTGGTCCCAAAAGTGATCACTGAATGTCTTGGACGTCGAGCCGCCAAGTTATTGAATGTCTTTCCCCAGAAAGACAGTAAGTATCTCATCACATTTCAGTCCGCAGCAACTCATTGATAATGTCAGTATCAACTACAAGAGTGACATGGTTGCTGAACTTGGACAATATGTTCATGCAATTGGGACGGATTCCAACAATTCGATGGAACCCCGAAGTATTGAAGCGATCTACATTGCACCTACGAAGGGACACCGTACTGGGCACCGAGTGCTCAACCTCAATACTAAGAAGATGATTTCCCGACCCAAGGTCGTTGTACTACCCGGCCGTTACCAATCAAGTAATCCAGCGTGTTGAAGCTTGGGCTGCTGCCAAAGGTGTTACTTCCCTGAAGTTCTTCAATAAGAAGAGAGATTTAAAGACATTTCAAGCCTGAAAGGTCTCAAGTAGCAAAAGTCACTTAATCTGGGCAAAAGTATGCGCAAGCTGCAATGTCTGGGCTGAACCTTTCTCAAGTTCCAAAGAAACCAAGAGAATGGCTTTTGAGCAGGAGTGGCAGTTCTGCCAATAAGAACAAGAATCGAGTTGCGCCAAGACGCAAGCATCGAGAGAGAGAATTGAAACTGTTGAAGAACAAGTTAAAATCTGGTATTCGTACCAAAGAAGGAAGTTGCAGTACTAAAGACAGTAAAGCTATCCTTGAAGCAAAGCACAATTTTTGTTTCCAACAGATTGGGAATAAGATGAAAGCTGATTATGAAGAGCGCTCGTTGCATGATGCAGATCAAGGCCAAGTTTGATACTGATGAAGGTCTGATGAAAGCTGATAATGAAGAGCACCACGCTATTCTGATCGCTTGTTACATGATGCAGATCAAGGCCAAGTTCAATACTGACAAAGGTCTGAACTTCATTCAACAGTATTACATCAATCAAGGACTGAAGAAGTTTGGTGATGATGGAAAGGATGCTGTGGATAAGGAATTGAGACAAATGCTCCTGAGAGATTGTTTCACTCCCAAATTTGTGAAAGACATGACCGCTTCTGAGCGAAAGAAGGCCCAATCAGCGATGATGTTACTCGTGGAGAAGCAATTTGAAAAGACGATTAAAGGTCGCCTAGTATACCGAGGCAATGGAACTCATGATTGGTTATCGCGAGAGGACACTGCAAGTCCAACTGCTTTGCAGGAAGCAATCACCACTATTTGTGTTATTGATGTAGAGATATAATGACGATGGACATGCCTAACCCTTTCATTCAAACTTATATGCCCAAAGCTAAGGAAGGAGAAGATCGTGTCTACATGAAAATCACTGGCATGATGGTCCAGATATTGATTGACATGGCCCCAGAGTATTGCAAATACGTTGTATTAGAGAACAGAAAGCGAGTAATCTATGTGCGGGTACTACGTGCTATATATGGGATGTTGCAATTGAGCCCCCTATTCTATAATCAGTTTTGAAGCGATTTGGAGGCAAAGGGATTTGTTTTCAACCCGTATGACCCGTGTGTTGCTAACAAAGTTGTTGATGAAAAACAGCAAACTATCAGATTTCATGTTGACGATCTTATGTCAAGTCACATGGATCCGAAAGTAAAATGACAAATTTGCTAAGTGGTTGAACATGAGATATGGTTCAATCAAGGCAGTTCCAATTGTCAGAGGAAAGATACACAGATATCTTGGAATGACTTTGAATTTCTTGGTGAAAGGAAAACTCAAGATCCGCATGGACAACTATGTCAAGAACATGTTGGAAGATTTTCCTATCAAGTTCAACAAGGATTCAAAGCAGGAAACACAAGCTGGTAACGATTTACTGGAAGCTGGTAAAGGGAAGTTACTCAGTGCTGAGTACCGTCAGATCTTTCATACTACTGTTGCAAGGGGACTCTATGTCTCTAAGAGCTCGTTTGGATATCCATCACACGATTACCATTCTTGCCTCAAGAGTCCGAGAACCTACAGAGTCTGATTGGCAGAAGTGTGTTCGCATGATGCAATATTTGTTTTGTACATTGTTGTATCACCTGACACTTTCCGCAGAATGAAATGGATGATGGACGCATCATTTGCGGTGCATCCAGATTTCAAGAGCCATACTGGCGGCACTTTGTCCTTTGGAGGAGGTGCAGCTCAAGTGATGTCAAAGAAACAAAAACTAAACAGCAGAAGCAGTACGGAAGCGGAACTGATTGCTGTTGACGATGTTGTCATGATGATACTATGGACGAAATTGTTCATGGAGAAGAAAATCTTGTATCAGGATAGCAAAAGCGCAATTCTACTGGAAGAGAATGGTTGCAAGAGCGCGGGCAAAAGAAGCCGAGCTATCAATATTCGTTATTTCTCTATCACAGATCAAGTTGAGAAAGGAAATGTTAAGATCAAATACTGTCCAACTGACGATATGATTGCGGATTTCATGACAAAGCCATTGCAAGGTGAGAAGTTTTGCAAGTCCAGGGATCCACAGGAATAGGTCAGACAAGTATATATGTTCAGAAGATACAAAACACAAATAAACAGTGAATGAGAGCATGTCCCATTGCTGCCAATGGTGATTGTCACAATGGCAGGAGTGTGTTGGGATATGACGAAATATGAGTTTTTACGTTCCAGAAAGAAACTATTCAAGTACGAAATTTTTGACATGTACGATCGGAATTTGATCGTGATGTCGGGATTTGAGGCAAGTGTGCCGGACGCAAGTCTGTCGGACAATCTACATCCACACAAAAAGGGAATGACCCTATACAAGTGAGATATCGGTGTTGAGTACAATGCAGTAGGGAAGAATACAAGATGTCCCAAAGTACTGTATTCAACATAGAATTGTCATAGAGGTCGAATCAAGCTCTGTAAACAAGGGAATTTCCAAGGGAAAATTGTTGAACTTACTTTTGTGATTGAATCATCAATTCAAGCCAAATATTAATCAAATAGGAACAATTTCACTCAAAGTATACCTAGACACAGGAGAACTATTGTCGTGAAAGTGTTGCACAGATGAAGGACAAGATATGATGTCTTTGGATATTCCAAATGCGTTTATTCAAACTCAAATGCCAATGGATGCAAAATCGAGAGTGATGATGAAGATCACTGGATTATTGGTTGACATGATGATACAACTGGAGCCAAGGTATTGTGATTACGTTGTAATTGAAATCGGCAAACGAGTGATTTATGTGAGAGTATTACGAGCCATCTATGGGATGTTAGAAGCCTCTATGCTCTGGTACAAAAAGTTGAGAGGAGACATGGAGAAAAATTGTTTTATTTTCAATCCATACAATGGATGTATTGCCAACAAGATTGTGAACGGCAAACAACAAACTATTCGATTTCATGTGGACGATCTTTCAAGCCACATCGATCAAAAAGTGAATGATGATTTTTGTGAATGGATGAATCAAAAGTATGGTTCAATCAAACCAGTCAAATCTAAGCAAGGAAAAATTCAGGAATATTTGGGAATGATCCTAGATTTCAGTAAAAGGGGGAAAGTCAAAGTCCGAATGGATGACTATGTTAATCGAATGTTGAATGAATATCCTGTGAAGTTCAAGGAATGATTTGTTATCAATCGGAAAAGGAGAAAAATTGGATGATGAAAAACATGAAACTTTTCATACATTCATTGCGAAAGGATTATTTCTGAGTAAGAGAGCAAGATTGGATATTGCTCCAACTATTTCAGTACTTTCTACAAGAGTACAGAAACTAAATGAAACTGATTGGAAGAAGCTAATGAAGCTGATGTATTATCTGAATGGAACAAAGGGAATGCACCTGACGCTGAGTGCAAAAGATTTACGAACTTAAAAGGCAACAATACCTGGACAGCTAAATCGCAGTCAATTGAACAGGTAGATTGCAGGCGGCAGTGGATCGCTTACTTCTAACAGTGACAAATAGAGGGTACCAGTAGCTGGGTCAGAACCAGCTTGTCACATTTTTGGGCACATATTGGATAAATGGGATTTACAAATCAGCTCACGACTACCAGTTTCTACGTACATTTACATGTCGTCAGCTGGTCGCACCGCAAATTTTGCATTGCGGGAGTCTGCAAGACGTTTGATAGAATCGACCAACTTGAAGGAGTGGTAAATTTTAAAAGGGGCAACCTTTCCTCCCCTGAATATTCTTCAGATCATTATTTTGTGCGTGTAGAAATGCTATGTTACATTTTGCGTGAACGGCAGGTATGTTTAACAATACACCATTTAGCGCACTTTTGATTGCGTCCACTGTGTCAAAAACCACAATTAGGACGTGAAAAATCGTTTAGGTTTCCAGCAAGTTCAAAAGAATCATTGGAGTCCACAAAAACTTGTTTGGGTTCACAAAAATCGTTTTTCACAAAAAATTGTTGGAGTCACAAAAAATGGTTTTGAGTCACAAAAAATTGTTTGGAAAAATTGATTGGACAAATCAGCTTGCCGTAAACGATTTCTTCTTACAACAAGCTATTTTATGTCATCCTCTTTGGTACTTGATGGTCTAATGTTGCTCTCATGTGACTAATGTTGCTCTCATGTGACTACTAGTCTAGGGTTTAGCAAAATCATATTGTGCTTCACTGTTTCGTTGAATTTCACATCGTTCACATTAGTAGTACAAACCAGGAAAAGCTGCAAGACACTTTCTTCTTGCTTCAAAAACCACGATCCATGTATGTATCATTTATTGATTCATTTCATTTTGATATCTTTTGCGGTGAATTCTTAGCCTGCATTTTACTTGACATCGTTGCTTGATGCCTTTGTATGCTATCCTTCTAGATACAAATTCAACAAACAAACAATTGGAATTTGTTCAAAAATTACCTAATAGTACATCGTTGAACATTTGTTTTCATTTTCCTCAAACAATTAATTTCTAGCTTCATTAGAATTGAACTATGAAAAGTAGGTTTATTGTTACATTTAAAAAGTATGTTTGCTGGTTTTGAAATTCCATAAATTTCCATGATGTCAAATTTGTATGGAGGAAGTCAAATTGAAATGCTGCATGATATTACTCCTGTACTCTGCAGGCGCTAGCTTTAGTCCAATATCCTTCCACCTTCAACAATGCCAGCATTTGTCCCTTCTCTATTACCTCTAGCTGTTGACCCAGCGTTGGTGGGCATGTTGATGATGTGATCAACCATCAACTCTTCATCAGGGGATACGAGAGACTTGCCAAACACCAGAGTGGTGAATAATAATCAGGCAGATCCAGAATAGTGGAAGTTCACTCTAAGCATGGCAATCCATTGAAATTCTAAAATAAGCATCAGCTAGAACTCACCAACTTGTCCATTGATTCAATTTCTACTATCAGACTTGCCTTGGCCATGACCCAATTGCTCATGAGTATTTATTGGTTGATGCCACATTGTAAGCATTGCAATCGATTGAAATTTGAAAAGACTCATCAGCTAGAACTCACCAACTTGTCCAGTTATCCAAGTTCTACTCATCAGAAATGCCTGGGCCATGACCTAATCCGTCACCATAACGTAGTTATTGATTGGTACAATCATTATATTGGACCCATATGGTGGAAGCACATTATAAGCATGATGATCGATCAAAATTCCACAACAAACATCAGCTGGAACTCACCAACTTGTCCATAGATTCAAGGTCTACTCATCAGAATTGCCTTGGCCATGGCCCAATCGGCCACCATAAGGTACCAGTGCAAAACGTGTTGTTGTTTGTTAGCAATTGTCGTTCGTAAAAACGGCGTAATCACCCCTTCGAAGTTGCCAAGCTTGAACGACAAGGTTCCATAAAAATCCAAGCAGATCAGCAGGAAGCTTGTTATTTAAGGAGTCTACATGCTGATTGGCTAGTTTCTTTCAATTTCGTTCATCACGTAGCATACGTAGAATAGTACCATAAAAAAGACACTGATTTAGCCCATTCTTCTTCAAATCTCCCACCAATAAAATAGAAAGAAACATGGGGAAGTCAAGCAAGAGGCGTATGCAAGTAGTTCCAGAGGGGTCAGATGTAGAGACCAAGCGGATCAGAAGACCGATTGTTGAAGAAATGGCCAGGATGCTCATTGATCTCCAAGCCAGAGCGCTTTCTTTTAAGGATCATTATGGTGAATACAAGATTAGAATGATGCATCCAAGTATCGACATCAAGCGATCGGATATCATACCTTTGATCTCCAAGCCAGAGCGCTTTCTTTTAAGGATCATTATGGTGAATACGGAGCTTTGTTTGAACAAAAGCAGAAACTCTATCCGTGGTTGACAAGGGACATGGTGACAGGCAAGAAAACAAGAATCCTTAAGCAACAGAAAGTGAAAGCTGTTACAGTGGCACAGCAACAGGAGGAGGAGCACAAGAAGAAAGTGGGCCGCCCAAAGGGATCAACCAAACAAGCCAACAAGGATGTGGCAAAGAAAAAAGATTTGGCATCCAAGTATCGACATCAAGCGATCGGATATCATACCTTTGATCCACAAAGCGTGGACTGGATCCTTCGCTCGGAAAGAACAAAATCTCCATGCCATCATCGCAAGAGGATGGTACCATCTTGACATGAGACTGTTGAAAGACACAGATATCTTGAATACACGGGTGGCTCATGTCAACACTCCCGAACGAACCACTGCAGCATCGGACGATTCTGGAACTCCACAAACTCCCAGAACAGCAGGAACTCCCAAATTGGTTGATTGTAATGCTACTGCTGACAACATTGGACCCTTAGCGCTCCTCAACATGAATGTTGGCAATAGCGAAGTCATGATTGATCTTGTTCAATATATGCGCAAAAATGCTGGCGCCCAAGAGGCTCTGCAAGAGCGCAAGAGAAAGGTTACTCTATGCGGCAACGCCCATGAAGGGTTCTTGAAAGATTCAAGATTCACTGCTGGGGGCATCTTCAAGAGCGGCCAAGTCCATCTGGGAGAAAACGTGCTGGCAGCTTGCAAAGAGATGGAGGCCAAGAAGATGGAGGGATCGCTGAACCCAATTCGGAAATCCATTGGTGCTTTGCCATATGGTTCAGCGTTTGGAAGACAAAGGCAGACAATATCCCAAAGCGGAAGGATCTCCAGATTGCATTGATGGAACGATATCTTCTTGATCAAGGCAAAGATGAGATGTATGTAAATATGGTCTTTGCAGAAAGAGCCAGCATCGCAGCAGAAACAGAAGCTGTTATAGAGGAAGGATCTGATGGGGATGGATTGTTGGCTGATTGTCGTCTTGATATGACTGCAGTTGCAAATGGTAGTGAGAATTCCATGATGGTTGAGCTCTGATTTTGAGAATTTGAGACTACACCGAAAATCTGTTCTTTTTTCACATATCTCTAGTACATTTTTGCGTAAAATTGCATTTGTCGTTTGTGGCCAAAAATTGACCTTCAGCCGAGCTCGCAATTATAGACCTACCAGCATTCTTACTACATCTTGAGGTAGATTGGACATTTCTAGACAAGGCCAAGGGGTGGAGAAGCTACTCTAAGTGATCTGGTAAACTCAAAATCTTGGTTGGAAAACGGACAGATTACGCCGTTTTTACGAACGACAACACGTTTTGCACTGGTAGTTATTGATGGGAACAATCATTATATTGGACCTATATGGTGGAAGCACATTGTACACATGACGATTGATCATAATTCCATAACAAGGATCAGCTTGAACTCATCGATGAGTAGAATTGCCTCCAATCGCTCACCAATATGTATTTGCTGATTGGGACAATCAATATACAGGGTCTGATTTGTGGAAGCACATAATGGCAAGCATGAAGATGGATCAAAATTCCATGATGGGACGTTCTTCAGCCGGTGGTGGAAGAGGACGTGTGACTCCTCAGAAAGTCAAGAGCAATTCGAGTTCAACAGTTGTGAAACATCTATTTTCAACGAAAGATGAAAACGATGGAAAGGCAAGATTGTCGCACAAAGATGCTGAAGAAAGAGTGATTGACTATTGTTAGAATAAAGCAAAATGTGCTCTATCGTGAGTGCCTCTAGCGCTCAGAACAAACTCTCTGCAATCTAAATTTGTAATCGACTGTACAACACTTTCACGATAATAGTTCTCCTGCGTCTAGGTATACTTTGAGTGAAATTGTTCCTATTTGATTAATGTTTGGCTTGAATTGATGATTCAATCACAAAAGTAAGTTCAACGATTTTCCCTTGGAAAATTCCTTGTTTACAGAACTTGATTCGACCTCTACAACAATTCTATGTTGGATGCAGTACTTTGGGACATCTTGTATTATTCCCTACTGCATTGTACACAACATCAATATCTCACTTGTATAGGGTCATTCCCTTTTTGTGTGGATGTAGATTGTCTGACAGACTTGCGTCCGGCATACTTGTGTCGGATCCCGACATCACGATCAAAGTCCGATTGTACGTGTCAAAAACTTTGTACTTGAATAGTTTCTTTTTGGAACGTAAAAACTCATATTTCGTCATATCCCAACACACTCCTGCCATTGTGACAATCACCATTGGCAGCAATGGGACATGCTCTCATTCACTGTTTATTTTTAGTTTTGTATTTTCATTTTTGAGCAATGGATGATCGACGCATCATTTGCGGTGCATCCAGATTTCAAGAGACATAGTAGTTTTTATTGTTTTGTTGCTGTGATTGGCCTCTGCCTTGATAGTTTTGTCCTGGCTGAAAGCGGCCAGTTTGGGAGCATCCACTGTGCTGGCCATTGAATCCACGGCCTCTGCCACCATTGTTGGGGTTTCTTGGCTGAAATTGTCCTTGGTTCTGTTGCTGGGAACTGCCTCCACATTGAAAACCTTGTGAATTCCCTTGAAAATATCTTGGAGAGTTTGAGGTTCTTGAACATGGTTGATGACCAGCATTGCTTGGTCGAACACCAAAACGACTTTGGTGAAGGCCTCTACCGCCTGTGCGATTACCAGGTCGAGTTTGACAATGAGAACTCTCCTGCATAAGTTTCTTCCTGTCCACTGTTCTTTTCTTTTGTGTCATCCAACTGACAATATCTTTCCACGTAATATTATCGTTGTTCGCCAGATCATTTCGCGAATTGATAAAATCTCCCTGCCAATCAATTGGAAAGGAGCAAAACAGTGCCAGCTTTCTCTTCCAAATTTGACCCGGAACGTTCTCATCGTTCACGTTGGAACAATTTCCAGGAAGCATATTGTGATGCATAAATAGGGTCTTCAAGTTTTTTGATCAAATCAAACAGCAATTGCTTATGTGTGAGAGAGTATACTCTTGTAGTCTTCAATCTAAGCCTCATGGCTATTCTAATAGTGAACCAGCCTAGAAGAAGAGATAGGAATGGGTCACAACAAAAGTTATAGAGTCTCTCAAAAAGCCACAGAAAGGAGTGACGTAAGAGTTAGGCCTAAAGCTATGTCTGTACCTCCAAAGGGTCTAATCTAGTTCCAAGGTCACTCCAAGGTCATTACAGTGAGTTTTGGATTTTGACTCATCTCCGGGTTCCTGTGATGGATGGTACGGGAGCTGAATCATCATTATCAATCAATCAAATTAAGATAGACTTGGCTATGAATCAAGTTAAGGTTGGTCTTGCGATAAAACCAAAACACGCTTTTGCTCTCAGAATTCCAGCTGCCGTTTGTATATATTTTCTTGTATTGAGGATCCAAAAGCAAGCACCTTTGGTTAGCAATCGACATGCTCAGCTCTTCTTGAACCGCGACATGAAATCGAAGTATCCAAGTTTTTGTTCGACTGAGAAGGGTTCGTTGCACTCTATTGCCCTTGAGATGTTTCACTATTCCAATCCTCCTGGGTCTTCCGCAGTTCAAAAGCTTCGTCATGTACTGAACCTGAATCCATCTTTTCATACGAATTTTCCTCGGCGATTGTTCAAATCCAATCAGAAGTCATTGGCTTCTATGCTCTTGGGCTACGGTCTCAAACAGGAAAAAAACTTCCCGACTTATTTAAATTGCTCAGATATCACCTTGGTAGAAACCTTGTTTCGCCCTTTGTGCCCTATTGAAAATCCGTTGTTTTTCAATACCAGTCGCATAATAATTCAGAGTGAGCAAATTCTCAGTCCACGGCTAGGCGACTGTCATGCATCGCCAAATTGTATTATAGTAGAGTTTTCGGATTATAATTACAGAATGTTACAGGAAAAAGGATGGAGCAATTCCACAATTATGTTGCCGATCATGCATCAACATCCAAGTCGACTAGTCCCATCAGATGAACCTTTTCAACTGGTTTCATTTGCCAATCGCTCGATAGATGTCTCCTTTTTTGGGCTCATGACAGCACGACGAGAAAAGCTACAAAAAGAGAAAAGAAAATTCTTAAAGCAGAATCCCAACCGAACAGTGACCTTGAAAGTATCATTGGACTCTCAAGCCATGGCAAAGGCCTATGCCGACTCGAAAGTATGTCTTGTTGCACACTCGTACACTTCAAAGTCAGGAGGTGAGTATCACCGACTATCAGAATTCTCACCGTTTGGGTGCATACCGGTTGTCGAAGAATTTGCAGATTCCATTGGAATCGACCGGTATGAAAAATGTGGGCGGGTCATTTTTACAAAGTTCTCGGACTTATTTCGAAATGTTGACGACACTTTGCATTCAATTGACGCTAGGGACTACGAGGGACCGGATGAATTTTCTCATGTCAGATGGTGGAACAAGGGAGTGCGCTGGGGGTCACTGCTTCACAGTCTAATTGGCAAGGCGACCATGTCTGTTTTGAGATAAAGTGCCTTTGTGACTATTTCCACAACGCTGTCTAAACGTTATCATGTCAAATTTTCCTCTTCAATTCGAAATTCAAGAGATGATGGGTTGTGCATGGATTTTCGAAAATTGGAGGTTTTGATCAAGCCATTTCACTTAACCATAGAGTAGGCTACCAATAGGTCATGTCTTCCATGGGCTTTTGTAACTCTTAGCAAAGGCAACTTCCTTCCTACAACCAGCAATGAAGGCTTTGGGAAGAACGGATGCTGCAAGAAGCTCAATATTATAGCTGACACTTGCATCAATAGTACATGTATCATCAGTGGAAAGCTGGTTGAGAACATTGATGTGGCAATCTCTGCGAAAGACGATGATCAATCACAGACACTTGAGAAGGAGCAGATTGCACAACAGTGAATTATACTCTGTTGTACTGTGATTTGATTGATTTATCATGTCTCATCAACATTGATGACAACAAGTGATGAAAAATATTGGATAATAGGGTTTGGCTTGTTGAAGACATTAAATATGTAGCGAGTCTAATATATGGACACTTGCGAATCAATGGATGATAAGGTTCCAAACTTCAGAGAAGACTCAAAGCTAAGGCCAAAGCTCTTCATGAGCAAATAGGAAACAAGATCTGAAACAATTTTGTATGTTCATTGATTTCTTGAAAAGGAACATGCATGGCTCTTTGATTGAATTGTGAGCATCATCATAATCAAAGTTTTCTTAACCGTCCATCTGCCACTCAGCCTACAAAAAGGTGCATGAGTGAAATTGCTCCTGTTTCATCATGATTGGCTTGAATTGATGGTTCAATCACAAAAGTGAGTTGAACAATTTCCCTCTGGGAAATCCCTGGTTTACAGAACTCAATCCAACTTCTGAGGATTTATATTCCACTTGTATAGGGTCATTTGACTCGTGTGTGGATATTGCTTGTCAGACAGTCTTGCATCAAATGTTGACATCATAATCAAAATCCGATCATGTGTGTAATTGAATAGTTTTTCCAAGGAACGTAAAAACTCAAAATTTGTATATATATATATAACTGAATCATTAATTGGTATTCCTCTACAGCCGTATTACACCGGCAGTTGGATACTCTAAAAACTCAAAATTTGTCATATCCCAACACACTACTGCCTTGTGACAATCACCATTGGCTGAAATGGGACATTCTCTCATTCTGTTTTTGTATTCTTGTTTGAGCATATACATACTTGTCATACCTACTAGTCCTTTGGACCAAGAATTAGATCTCTGAACTTGCAAAATTTCTCACCTTGCAACTGCTTGGTAATGAAATCCCAATTATATTCAGTTCATCAGAGAGGGGGTGTTTATGGTATTTTTGAACAGACTTTGGTTGGTCCCCCCAATGATCTTGCCCCATCATACAGTCCAAATCAATTTTTGGAAACTCGCCGTAGATTTGCGTAGAATCCAAGTTTCTGGTAGGATGTGTGACAAATCATGCCTAGAATAGTACCTTTAAATTTTCGTAGAAATTGTACCAAATGGAAGAAACACAAAACTTCCATTTCCATCGTCACCCTCCTGGAGGCTTGTTGGCATCAGCAAAAAAAACCTTATGCATTGAAGAAGAACAAAATCAAAAAAATCCATGCACAACGAAAGATTGCACCATTGAAATCTACCGAAAATTGTGAACTTTGATAGACTTGCAGTCATTGTCCACCAAGAGGAAATGGATGCAGAACTAATGATATCTTTGTATTATACCTATCTCTCTTCTTTGTACAAAGTGGCCTGAGCGCATTTGTTTCTTTGGTCTCCAAAATGGCCACTGAAGCACACAAACATTTTCTTGACAGTTGTTTTCATAAGGTTTTTGAACTCTTTAGGAAGTGGAAAGGAAAAAGGCTTGAACCATTCTGCAGAGATTGCTTCTCTCATTATTGCAAAGGCCTTGCCACCATCTGATGGTTGTTTGTACGGTTTGAGCCCCTTGCCTCTTGGCTATTATTTTTTGAATCGTTTTGAACTTCCATAAATTTCTGTGATGTCGAATTTGTATGGAGGAATTCAAATTGAAATGCTGTACTCCGCAAGCGCTAGCCTTGGTCCAATATCCTTCCACCTTCAACAATGCCAGCATTTGTCCCATCTCTACTACCTCTAGCTGTTGACCCAGCGTTGGTAGGCATGTTGATGATGTGATCAACCATCAACTCTTCATCAATTCTTGTCATCGATTAATTTGTTTTTGGCAATAGGAGTGCCACTTTCAATAGGGCCATTTCCTTCCTAATAGTGGGTCATTTGCGCAACCATTTAATCTCCTTGCCACCTTGAGGATGATGATATTGTCAAAAGGCAAGATTTGATACCTCAACCCGATTTTGCGTAGGATCGATCTCCAATGTTGTAGAAAGGATAGACGCCAAATAAAATTCTCAAAACAATTTGATACATAATTATAGACCTTGGTTGATTTCCCATAGTGTTTCATGGATTCGTTGTCCTATTTGGAAACAAAACAAAAGAATCGTTTGGTGAGAGAAAAATTGTTTGGTACCAAAACAAATTGTTTGGAGAGAGAAAAAATTGTTTAGTGACAAAACAAATCATTTGGCAAAAAACAAATTGTTTGGCTAGAGAAAGAATTGTTGGAAAAAAGTTGTTGAGGAAACAAATTGTTTGGGATAGACCAATTACACGACACTGTCAATACTGCTCTTAAATAATTTAGATGTTTCTTTGCCAATCCTGATCGGCACACGACCAAAGCCCTAACGATTTTTTTCTGTTTTTTTTTTGGGTTCACGATCGATTTGAGGGTTTCAAAGCAATGGCACCAAGAGACTCCCCCCCTCACAGGGGTATGTGCAAATTCAATGGATGCAAATCGCACGTTCGAGAAAACTTGCGGTTCCTGGTACCATCACGGTCTGTCCTAAGATATTTTTTGTTTGCAACATCATTGTTTCACATTGTATTTGTATAATTTGCCTTTTGACTCATCCTGTTTTTTCACATGACCCACCACTTATTTTACCACGACTGTTAGAAATGGGCAAAATGTGCTCTATCATGAGTGGCTTTAGTGCTCAAAACAAACTCTCTGCAATCTAAATTTGTAATTGACTGTCCAACACTTTCACAACAATAGTTCTCCTGTGTTAGGTATACTTTGAGTGAAATTGTTCCTATTTGATTAATGTTTGGCTTGAATTGATGATTCAATCACAAAAGTAAGTTCAACGAATTTGAATTAGGAAAATCCCTTGTTTAAAGAACTCAATCCAACTTCTACAAGGACTCTGTGTTAATTACAGTACTTTAGGACATCTTGTAATATTCCCAACTGCATTGTACGCAACACCAATATTCCACTTGTATTAGATTGTTTGACATCACAATCAAAATCCGATCTTGAATAGTTTTTCTCAGAACATAAAAACTCATATTTCATCGTATCCCAACGCACTCCTGCCATTGTGACAATCACCATTGGCAGCAATGGGATATGCTCTAACTCACTGTTTATTTTGTTTTCTATTTTGATTTGAACATATACATACTGAACATATGCCTGACCTATTCCTGTGGACCAAGAATCCAATCCCTGAACTTGCAAAACTTCTCACCTTGCAATGGCTTTGTCATGAAATCCGCAATCATATTGCCAGTTGGACAGTATTTGATCTTAACATTTCCTTTCTCAACTTGATCCGTGATAAAGAAATAACGAATATTGATAGCTCGGCTTCTTTTGCCCACGCTCTTGGGACCATTCTCTTCCAGTAAAATTGCGCTTTTGTTATCCTGATACAAGAAATTCTTCTTGATCAGATACCCTTGCCACTCCATGAACACCTTTGTCCATAGCATCATTGTGACAACATCGTCAACAGCAATCAGTTTTGCTTCTGTACTGCTTCTGCTGTTTAGTTTTTGTTTCTTCGACATCACAGAGTGCCGCCAGTATGGCTCTTGAAATCTGGATGCATCGCAAATGATGCGTCGATCATCCATTTCATGACTCATAGTGATTCTGCGGAAAGTGTCAGGTGATACAACAATGTACAAAACAAATATCGCATCATGCAAACACACTTCTTCCAATCAGACTCTGTAGGCTCTTAAACTCTCGAGGCAAGAATAGTAATCGTTGGATGGATATCCAAACGAGCTCTCTAAGAGACATAAAGTCCCCTTGTAACAGTATTATGGAAGATCTGAAGGTACTCAGCACTGGGTAGCTTTTCTCTACCAGCTCCCAGTAATTCGTTGCCAGCTGGTGTTTCCTGCTTTGAATCCTTGTTGAACTTGAAAGGGAAATCTTCCAACATGTTCTTGACATAGTCGTCCATGCAGATCTTGAGCTTTCCTTTCACCAAGAAACCTCTAAGGAGAAAGTGGAGGAGCTCACCTTCAAGAAGCTCAAGCCCTACATTGACTGGTCCTGGAATAATGGAGCCCAATTTGGTTGCCCACAATTCTTCACTGGATGACATGTTCCGGCTGCTTGGTCAATGTTTTGAGATCACCGGCACGCATGCAGGCATTTTCCGTTCCTCGCTGCAATTTAGTGATCCTGTCCAAATTGGTTGGCTACTGAACTACCCCATGGAGATTGGGAGAGCGGCACTTGAATGCGAGCTCATGCGTCACTTCACCTTCAAGAGAGCCATAACCCTAGAGCCTGCGTGGCCAAAAATGGATGCCCTCCAAGGGTCCAAAAGCGTGGCACATCTGGGTAGCTGCTTCTGACGTGGATAGAGTGGCACAAGCCCTCTTTGCATGGCTCAGGCCATAGCCAAAGAAGGGTCACATGCCGTTTGGTGCCTGGACTCAGTTTGTCTACAAAGGGAAACCTAGGTGACCTTGCGCAACCAGGGGGGCAGTGGAATGGCATCATTGGGAAACTCATCAGCACCCATGATACTACCTCCCAGACCTGCACCTCCCTGCCTCCACTGTTTCCTATCCAAGGCATGCTGACCAAGGTCTTCATTCCAAAGTACTGGAACAAGGGCAAGGGCAAATCCCTCCTCCAATTTTTCTACATACCAGCGGTCAAGAAACCTCCACCTGCTCATCCTGAACAATCAGCCACACAGGATGCCAAAACCCCAGACTCTCCCTTGCCACCTGTTGTTTCTTCTACTCCTCCAGAACCAACACCAGCCAACTCAAGTGTAACTGCCCCCACCACAGCTTAGCCAACTCTCCTACCCGCCCCATCCACCAAGCGTTCCAGTCGCAAGGGGTCTAAGAATTTCCAGGCCAAGCAACCTCTTGCAAAACCTGAGGAGACGCCTCAGGCTACTCCTCCCACACCTCCCCTACTGCCTTCTCCTGCGCTGAAGTCTACACTACACCCCAGTCAGCAACCAACCCTCCTACGGAGCCTTCAGCTCGGCGAAACTTTCTGCATCTGAACAGCCCCTTGTCACTGAGTCGTTTGATTGCAGTGCATGGCTGGCGGCAATGGATGTGGAACTGAACCAAGGCCCAGCCGGTCTCTTCCAAATAATCCTACCAGGCCCAATTGATGGCTTCTATGTGTTTGTGGTGCGCCAAAAGTTTGCCTCATTGGCACAGGAAGTTCTCAAGAACCTGGCGGCCTTCCTTATTTCCCACCTTGAGTTATGGCAGGACCTAAAGCACCAGAGGAAGACATGCCATATATGGCTCTGCCTGGACCATTCTAATCAAACGGTTACCAACACTATGACCTGGGATCAAAGCCAACATCATGCAATCTCGGAGTATGGGCGGGACATAGATCAAATGGAGAAGGATGATATTGAGTGGATCGAGAAGCTCCTGGCGGCAGTTCAGGCTTCTCTGGAATTTGAATGAGGACCGTGGACTGTTTCCTTATTTACATCATTGTGTTTGCGGGATCTTTTTTGGTGCAGAGCACGCATCTTTTCAGCATGTTCTTGGCTGAGACGCCGGCTGTGGTAAGCTCCCAATCTTCTTTTGCCATTCTTGTGGCACATGGTGTACCCAGCTTCATCAACAATCCAACTGTTGATGTCACCAACCTTCAATTGACACTCATCCAAAGGCTCACCATTCTCATCATAAAGATCGAAAGGAGTAGGGTCTGCCATGTGGCCAGACGCGTAGAAGAAGCAGAAGCTTCCAATGAGCGATCTCTTTCAATTGTAAGGAATATCAGATTGTGATCCAAGAAAATTTGTCTCGAAGTAGGCTGATCTTTGCATGTTCTCGTCGAGCTTTGCAGAATAGAGAATCTTGTTTTGGGCCATCTGTTTCTCTTGCAACAGCTTCAGTTTGAGTTGGAGCGTTCAATCTTGGAGCGATCGCATTGAAGTCGATCGACTTTCCATCTTGAATTGATTTCACCATGTCTTCGGAACATTTCATTCCAGAAGCTTGGATATAGTCAATCACTCTTTCTTTGGCATCTTTGTACGACGATCTTGCCTTTCCATCGTTTTCATCTTTTGTTGAAAATAGATGTTTCACAACTGTAGAACTCGAATTGCTCTTGACTTTCTGAGGAGTCACACGTCCCTTTCCACCACCGGAAGAAGAACGTCCCATAGTCAACGAATCACTCACTCCTTTGTAGATAAGGCAGTGCTGTTCTTGACGTAAATTTGTTTTGTTGCCTTTTGTGATTGAATGTTAGAATTAAGCAAAATGTGCTCTATCGTGAGTGCCTTTAGCGCTCAGAACAAATTCTCTGCAATCTAAATTTGTAATCGATTGTACAACACTTTCACAACAATAGTTTCTCCTGTGTCTAGGTATACTTTGAGTGAAATTGTTCCTATTTGATTACTAATTTGGCTTGAATTGATGGTTCAATCACAAAAGTAAGTTTGACAATTTTCCTTCGGAAAATCCCTTGTTTACAGAACTTGATTCAACCTCTACAACAATTCTGTGTTGGATGCAGTACTTTGGGACATCTTGTATTATGCCCTACTGCATTGTACACAACATCGATATCTCACTTGTATAGGGTCATTCCCTTTTTGTGTGGATGTAGATTGTCCGGCAGACTTGTGTCCGGCAGACTTGCATCGAATCCCAACATCACGATCAAAGTCCGATCGTAAGTGTCAAAAACTTTGTACTTGAATAGTTTCTTTTTGGAACGTAAAAACTCATATTTCGTCATATCCCAACACACTCCTACCCTATATCTTTGAAGCCATTCTTGCAACAGGATTTCTGTGCAACTGCGATCAAACGAGAACAGCTCCTCTGATGCTGGATCTTCAGACAAACTATTGCAGAGAAGTGGAGTATTATCCAAAGACGGTCAGCAAAGCACAAGATATGTTGAAGATTCACATGGAAGTGAGTAAAAATCCGGGAGTGAACCTCTACCAAGGAAACGACCAACCTAATAAAGGTAAAGGTAAAGGTAAAGGTAAAGGTAAAGGAAAAGGAAAAGGAAAGGGGAAACCAAAGGATGGAAAGAAGGCAGCATGTTATGTATGTGGCAACGAAGACCATATGTCTCCAAAATGCCCAGACAGACTGCTACCAAAGACCCAATGGAAGAATCAGGATCAATATGTTGACTATGGGAAGAAGCTCAACCTTAATCAGATTGGAGCAACTGTCCCAGCTACTGTTCCAGCCATAGTTCCTGGAGCTTCAGCGTCCACAAGTGGAGCATCAAGTGTTACGGGAAGCATTAACACACCTTTGCGACTTGCTGGTACTACAGGTAATCAAATGATGCAAGTTCCTTCTGGAATGCAGCTCATGCAGATTCCAACTCAAGGTGGCGGCACTGTTACTGTCGCTTATTCTATGAATGCTAACGGTGAGATTGCGTTCAATGCAACTCAGCCGACAAGGCTTCAGTGGTGCTCAAGTGCGCCATGGATTCGATGCAACTCAAGCTTAAACTCCGCAAGCTGTGAAAGCTGGATATTTTGATATGTCAAATGTCTTCACGATGCTATCTAGGGAAAGGATGAGAATGGCAATGATGTCTATCTTATTCCATGTCCTGCTGGTACGACAAATGTCGAACTTCAAGCCAACTGGCACTATGCTAGTGAAAACAAAGATTTGCCTGATCTTGCTACTGAAGCAGATCGAGGTCTGCAGTTTATTCAAAGCCGCAGAAAAGAAAGAGATCCATTTGGGTTGTACAATCATGTCATCATGGACAGTGGTTGTACAAACACCACCATTTGTAATGGTGAGCTTATGCATGGACTCTGTCATGCTGGGAAAGAACTTGACATGCACACTAAAGTGGGCAGCAGAGTTCTTGACGAAGAAGGTTTTCTATGAAGATTTCCACCTCCAGTATATCAGGATGAAGATGGAATTGCCAATGTACTTGCTATGCGCGAGATGATTGCTGCGGGATACCGCATTACTATGGATACTGATGCTGACAATGCTTTTATTGTGCATTGTGATGGAAACCAAAAGATGCAATTTGTGAATCGTAAGGGTGTGTATGTGTTGGAGCAACTTGGAGCAAATGTTGAACCAGGTGCCAAAGAGTCAAGTGCAATGTACCGTCGCCAGTTAAGTAACTAATCAACCCCATTTCAAACTTTCTTCAAACAAACAGAATGGATATGCTGGACTCGAGATGACCTCCAAGATGGCAAATGCAGACAATGATGTGGATGATATGCCAGAACTCACTGTCAGATTCCAAGGAGATGATGACTATGAATCAGACGACAATTTGGGTGATGAAGGCAACAAAGAGGAAGAACCTATTGTGGCCGATTTGGATCACCATCAAGAAAATGTCGATGGAGGAACCCATGATATTGGGAGCCTTGTTACTGATCTGGAGGACCTACAAGAGCCGCCAGAAGAAGAGATTGTATTTGAGCCTGAAGAGCCTCAAGTGGCAAAAGTCACTCAATCTGGGCAAATGTATGCGCAAGCTGCAATGTCTGGGCTGAACCTTTCTCAAGTTCCAAAGAAACCAAGAGAATGGCCTTCAAGCAGGAGTGGCAGTTCTGCCAATAAGAACAAGAATCGAGTTGCGACAAGACGCCAGCATAGAGAAAGAGAATTGAAACCGTTGAAGAACAAGTTAAAATATGGTATTCGTACCAAAGAAGGAAGTTGCAGTACTAAAGACAGTAAAGCTATCCTTGAAGCAAAGCACAATCTATGTTTCCAACAGATTGGGAATGAGATGAAAGCTGCTTATGAAGAGCACGACGCTATTCTGATCGCTCGTTGCATGATGCAGATCAAGGCCAAGTTCGATACTGATGAAGGTCTGAACTTCATTCAACAGTATTACATCAATCAAGGACTGAAGAAATTTGGTGATGATGGAAAGGATGCTGTGGATAAGGAATTGAGACAAATGCTCCGGAGAGATTGTTTCACTCCCGAATTTCTTAAAGACATGGCCGCGTCTGAGCGAAAGAAGCCCCAATCAGCAAATATTACTCGCGGAAATGCATTTTGAAAAGAAAATTAAAGGTCGCCTAGTATACCGAGGCGATGGAACTCATGAATGGTTATTGCGAGAGGACACTGCAAGTCCAACTGCTTTGCAGGAAGCAATCACCACTACTTGTGTTATTGATGCACACGAAGGTAGAGATGTAATGACACTGGACGTACCTAACGCTTTCATTCAAACTTATATGCCTGATGCTAAGGAAGGAGAAGATCGCGTCTACATGAAAATCACTGGCATGATGGACCAGACATTGATTGACATGGCCCCAGAGTATCGCAAATACGTTGTATTAGAGAACGGAAAGCGAGTAATCTATGTGCGGGTGCTACGTGCTATATATGGGATGTTGCAATCGATCCTCCTATTCTATAATCAGTTTCAAAGTGATTTGGAGGCAAAGGGATTTGTTTTCAATCCGTATGACCCGTGTGTTGCTAACAAAGTTGTTGATGACAAACAGCAAACTATCAGATTTCATTTTTCTAACAATTAACATCTTCCTCCATAATAATTACCATCAACCGTTCTTGATTGTTGACTGTTGATGGTCGTGTCACCATATCCGGAATTTGATTTGTTTTCAACCCGTATGACCCGTGTGTTGCTAAAAAAGTGATCTTATGTCAAGTCACATGGACCCAAAAGCAAATGACAAATTTGCTGAGTGGTTGAACATGAGATATGGTTCAATCCAGGCATGTAAAATCGTCAGAGGAAAGATACACAGATATCTTGGAATGACTTTGGATTTCTTGGTGAAAGGAAAACTCAAGATCCGCATGGACGACTATGTCAAGAACATGTTGGAAGATTTCCCTTTCAAGTTCAACAAGGATTCAAAGCAGGAAACACCAGCTGGTAAGGATTTACTGGGAGCTGGTAGAGAAAAGCTACTCAGTGCTGAGTACCGTCAGATCTTTCATACTACTGTTGCAAGGGGACTTTATGTCTCTAAGAGAGCTTGCTTGGATATCCATCCAACAATTACTATTCTTGCCTTGAGAGTTTGAGAACCTACAGAGTCTGATTGGAAGAAGTGTGTTTGCATGATGCGATGATATTTGTTTTGTACATCGTCGTATCACCTGACACTTTCCGCAGAATCACTACGAGTCATGAAATGGATGATCGACGCATCATTTGCGGTGCATCCAGATTTCAAGAGCCAAACTAGCGGCACTCTGTCTTTTGGAGGAGGTGCAGCTCAAGTGATCGAACACTGTCTGACTGACGATATGATTGCGGATTTCATGACTAAGCCATTGCAAGGTGAGAAGTGTGGTAAGTTCTGGGATCTGATTCTTGGTCCACAGGAATAGGTCAGACAGGTATGTATATGTTCAGATGAGTTTTTACGTTCCAAAAAGAAACTATTCAAGTACGAAGTTTTTGACACGTACGATCGGACTTTGATCGTGATGTCAGGATTCCACGCAAGTATGCAGGACGCAAGTCTGTCGGACAATCTACATCCACAGAAAAAGGGAATGACCCTATACAAGTGAGATATCAATGTTGTGTACAATGCAGTAGGGAATAATACAAGATGTCCCAAAGTACTGCATCCAACACAGAATTGTCGTAGAGGGGAAAATCGTTGATTGTCTTTGTCTCTGTTGGGAGACAAAATCAGCGAAATTCTGAAGGACAATCGCTGCAGTCAGCTGTGTGTGTGACTGCGAGAATATGAGCTTGATGGAAGCTCAGTAACTTGCAAAAACGCTGTGAAATCCGATCCGCAAGTTGTTGTGTTTTTGTCTTCTGATGGGAGACAAATTGGGCGATTTCTGACGGGGAAATTGTGACTGTTGCGATGTGACGAAATATGAGTGTTGCGATGTGACAAAATATTGAAGTACAAAGTTTTCAACATGTACAATCGGACTTTGATCATGATGGTGGGATCCCATGCAAGTATGCCGGACGCAAGTCTGTCGGACAATCTATATCCGCACAAAAAGGGAACGACCCTATACAAGTGAGATATCGGTGTTGCGTACAATGCAGTAGGGAATAGCACAAGATGTCCCAAAGTACTGCATTCAACACAAAAATGTCGTAGTGGTCGAATCAAGTTCTGTAAACAAGGGATTTTCCAAGGGAAAATAGTTGAACTTACTTTTGTGATTGAATCATCAATTCAAGCCAAACATTAATCAAATAGGAACAATTTCACTCAAAGTATACCTAGACGCAGGAGAACTATTGTTGTGAAAGTGTTGTACAGTCGATTACAAATTTAGATTGCAGAGAGTTTGTTCTGAGCGCTAAAGACACTCACGATAGAGCACATTTTGCATTATTCTAACAACAAAGACCATATGTCTCCAAAATGCCAGACAGACTGCTACCAAAGATCCAATGGAAGAATCAGAATCAATATGTTGACTATGGAAAGAAGCTCAATCTTAATCAGATTGGAACAACTGTCCCAGCTACTGTTCCAGCTATAGTTCCTGGAGCTTCAGCATCCACAAGTGTAGCATCAAGTGTTGCAGGAAGCGTTAACACACCTTTGCAACTAGCTGGTACTACATGTAATCAAATGATGCAAGTTCCTTCTGGAATGCAGCTCATGCAGATTCCAACAAACTCCACAGGTTGTGAAGACTGGCTATTTTGATATGTCAAATATCTTCCACAATGCTATCAAGGGAAAGGATGAGAATGGCAATGATGTCTATCTTATTCCATGTCCCGCTGGTATGACAAATGTCGAACTTCAAGCCAACTGGCACTATGCTAGTGAAGATGAAGACTTGCCTGATCTTGCTACTGAAGCAGATCGAGGTCTGCAGTTCATCCAAAGTCGCAGAAAGGAAAGAGATCCATTTGGGTTGTACAATCATGTCATCATGGACAGTGGTTGTACAAACACCACCATTTGTAATGGTGAGCTCATGCATGGACTCCGTCATGCTGAGAAAGAACTTGACATGCACACTAACATGGGCAGCAGAGTTCTTGACAAAGAAGGTTTTCTAGGAAGATTTCCACCTCCAGTATATCACGATGAAGATGGAATTGCCAATGTACTTGCTATGCGCGAGATTTTCCAAAGGAAAATTGTTGAACTTACTTTTGTGATTGAATCATCAATTCAAGCCAAATATTAATCAAATAGGAGAACTATTGTGGTGAAAGTGTTGTACAATCGATTACAAATTTAGATTGCAGAGAGTTTGTTCTGATCTCTTTAGGCACTCACAATAGAGCACTTTTTGCTTTATTCTAACACTGCTCCTTCTGCAAGTCTCCCTCCGGACCTTACCTACACCAAAATTTGAACTGTTCTTGAAGCATTTGGAAGCTGCAGTTCTAGACTCCATGACTGGCGATGGAACTTCTGTCGCGCCTACTGGTTCTGACTTCAAGTTCAAAGCCCCAGTATGCGATCTATTTACTGGCAAGCCCAAGGAATTTTGGGGTTGGTGGCAATCTGTTCTATTGGCGTTCGATCAGTCTGGCATTTCTGAAGCCTTGACTGATCCAGAATACCACAACAATAGTAACAGTGCTGCCAAAGCGTCTAGTGCTGGACGGTATGCCATTGCAAAAAGTATCCAAGGCGGTCACGTAAATTGGATGTCTGTTGAGGTCAGCCGACACACCAACCGCAAAGTTGCTAATGATTTCTATGAAACTAATGAAGACATTCAATACTGAAGAGAACCAAGCCCATTTCATGGTGCATGCAATCGACAGTTTGAATGAGATCAAGTTGGATCATACTAAGCAAGTTCACAAATTTATCAACGATTGGAAACAAATTATCAATCTATTGAACAAAAACAAGAACCAGCTTGTGACCAACCGAGAGATCCTACATGCCTTTGAAGAGTCAAGACAATTTATTCTTAGAAACCCTTTGAAGACCATTGATGATTACTTGGATCATATCCGAAATCAAGCCAATTCGATGAGGATGCTAAGTGGCGACCCCTCAATCCATGATGATGGGGACATTGTCCCTGGGGTGATCTGCCGGGCCAAATCTGGAACCAAGCCCAAGGGATCCGAACCTCCCAAATGGCACATTCCATTTTTCCCTAATGGATGGAAGCAAGCATTGGGACAGGGAGCCTTCAAGCGTTTGGAGGAGTGGCGTTGTGCCGCCCATGGTACTACTAAGCGTCCATGCAACCTCGAGAATGAATTCGATATGAAGAAAGTTCGTAACAAGTCCTATGATCCCAACCTTGATCGAAAAACAAAGAAAGCTTGCCGAGGAGCTACTGACACTGAGGAAGACGAAAATTCTCAGGACGGCACCACTGATTCCAGATTTCACAAGTTCAGAATTGTGAGTGCAAACCCCCGCCTTTGACATAACAAGAATGGTAAATATGTCTCTTTTAACGACACTATCACCACTTGCAACTGACAAGCACACGGACGTACACCAACAAAAAAGCGTGTGCTCCGCCATACCACTTCTCCTCCGGAACCTAATGAGCCAACCAATTTTTGGCAGGCTACATCTGGAGAAGACTTAGTACTATGGGAAGACTCGTCAAGCTCATGGGAGCTTTGGCAGGAAGACATTCTGGAACAGTTCTACCGGTGGCATCTGTAGTCGGAAAATTGATTGATGCTGTGGGCAACGAATGGTATGCAGTCGCCAACCAAGTCCTTCACGACACAAGTCCAAACCAGCATGAATCCTTACTCCCACCAGCACAAGTACATAATGCGGGCAATGCAGTTGATGATTTCCCATCTGAAGCAAAGATGACTCGTGGGGACTTCCGAACACAATGTTGTGTGTTTGGTTTGGGAAAAGAAAAGCACATGCTCCCATTATTCTTTGATGGATTGAAGTGCTACTATCGGATGGAGGCCATCACTGATGATGAACTTACATCTCTACCAAGAATTTTTCTCAGTCAGAAATTGGCCTAAAGAGAGTTCTTAACAATAGAATGTCAGTTTTTCGCAGTCCCTGGCACGGAGCGTTCCCACGACAGAGAATGATGAAAGCGCGTTTCCTCGGATTCAGTGCTGACTCTGGTGATGCATTTACATATGTTATTGTCACTGAGCCCAATGATGAGAAAGCTCATTGCCAAACTTTTACCCGCTCTGTCATTTGACCACAATACCCGCGAGAAGACACCCCAATTGTGTTCAAGCAAGGAACCTTGAGATTTACAAAAGGGATGAGCGCACCATATTGACTGCCGTTAGTGACTCTGATTTCCCGCCTTCTCTTTCCTACAGGGCGCACAATCCACTTCCGGCAATTCAAGAGGAGCCTCAACCATTGGACAGTGTATGGGAGTATGAACGAGGTATTGCAGAAGTGTATGGACCCCCGGCTTCAAAACACTTTGTACCGATCCTACATCCGACGAAGCTCTACTGCTTACTGATCAAGAGGAGCTTCAGCCGCTCTCTGCTCAGGACCACCAAGAGCTCCTTCCATTCCAACTGCTGAAGTTGATCTACCCATGGAACTGCACCCCCAACATCAAGAAATGTTAGCGGCCAATTCTACAGCTACTGTCAATGCTACACCTGATGGACCTGTCCCGGTGACACAAGAGGAGCAAAAAAATTCCTTCATGACGGAGCAAGGTGAATCTGCCTTGATTTCACCTGATGGAGATGAAGACTCAGTTCATTCCGCCGATGAAGCCCTCGATGATCACCAAGTCTCGCCGGAGTCGCTTGACGTTCATCTCCGGAATATTGCTGGATTGACGGAAGATGAAGATATATTTGATTCTATTTGTGGTCATGAGTTTTGTGATGGCATACTCTTCCTGCAGATCTTATGGAAGAACACCCACAATTTTTGTTGTCCTTGTGAGGGCGACAGTGATCAGATTCAATTGACCAAGATACACAACAAGTCCCAGCCCCGCCAAGTCTGAAGAGCCAAGAAAAAAGCCCGTCTACGGTTTCCTTTGCCCACTCGGTATGGCATTCCGATTCCACGGACAGAAAAAGAAGCACTTGCACTTGATGATGATAACGGGAACCACTTTTGGCGTGAGGCAATGGAAAAAGAAATTGCTTCCCTGGTTGCAATGAATTGCTTTGATTTTCACTCGAGTGATTACAAGCCTGGCCCAAATTCTCAATTTGCACTGCTGCGAATGATTCTTGAAGCAAAGCAAGATGGGAGACGCAAAGGAAGATTGGTTTGCGGAGGTCACCTTGTGGACCCACGAGGCATCTTGACCCGGTCAACAGTTGTGAAGGGTGTCAGTGTCCGCCATCTGGACATGATTGCCGATCACTACGGTTTGACAATTGTCCATAGTGATGTTGGTAATGCATTTATTACCGCTAACTGCCAGGAAAAACCGAGAAAGCCCTCTATGGGCTCCAAACTAGTTCAAAGACATACAGAGAAACTTTTGCAGCGTTCATGTGAACTATTGGTTTCCAATCGAGTCGCTATGACCATGAGGTCTGGATGAGGCTATGTGAGGATAACGAGGGATACAACTATCTATGCACTCACATGGATGATTTCAAAGTTGTGGCCAAAGATCCCCAACGGTGGGTCAATGCTATTGCTGGAGCCTTTCAACTGAAATGCTTTGGAAAGCCTGACTACTACCTTGGTATGGATTATAATTTTGACAAGGAGACGAAGTGTTGGTTTACTGGTACCAAGACCTATGTGGAAGAGTGTATCCGAAGGATCAAAGCTTTGCTTCCTCCTGGCCATATGCTCTGCACCCACAACACTCCTGCACCCACAACACTCCTGCCCCTACAACAGGAAAGCTTCCCATTATGAAGAGGACAAGTCCGATTTCCTTGATGACGCTGGAAAACGCCAATATCAGATGTTGGTTGGCATGGTCCAATGGGCCGTGACCATTGGACAAATGGACATTGCATATGCAGTCTCTTTGCTCAGTCGCTTTTCCTCAGCGCCTCGCAAAGGCCATCTGGAGTTAGCTTTCTACCTTTTTGGCTATCTAAAGAAATTCCCCAACAAGCAACTGCCTGTTGACTCACGTCCCCCTGAACTTTGCCCGACACTCACAGCGACCAAAGGTGCATTCAAGGCAGATTTCCTTGAAGAATATCCGGATGCAAAGGAGGACCAAGATTGCAGGGAACCCAAAGCCTTTGGAAAGCCAGTGCAAACAAGTGTCTTCTTTGATGCCAATCTGGCACACAACCTAGTTACTCGGCTGTCCATAACTGGACTCCTTGTCTACGTTGGAAGCGCTCTTGTATCATGGACTCCCAAGCACATGTTGCTCTGAATTTATCTCTATGCGCGCTGCCACAGAAGAGGCCATCTCTATCCAATATATGCTCTGTTCACTGGGTGTTCCTGTAGAGGAGCCTACCAATTTATTTGGTGACAGCCTGGGAGTCATCCAGAGCGCTGCCATGAAGGATGCAGATCTCAAGAAGAAACATGTCGCGATTTCTTAGCATTGTGTTTGTGAGGCCGTTGCAGCTCAAATTATCAAACCAATTTGTTGTAAAACCGATGAAAATTGGAGCGACATTTGTGCCAAGGCATTGAGTGGCCTTAAACAAAATGCCATTCTATGTAGGACGATGTTGTATAAAGACAACATCTCTGCATCCACCTCAGCACCTTGCAGTAAGACAATCCATTATGCTTCTTTGGTTTTTATTTTGGATTTTTTTTGGGGATAGCTAGTTTAATACATGATACGTCTTCTTAACACCTTTGGCTTGAGCTTTCCGCCATTGTCGGGTCTCCTCTTTTTGTGCCATCCGTTGGACTTGAGTCCGTCTGATACGAGCTTTGATGTTGTTGTTTTTTGCTTTCTGGACTGCTGCCAATCTGTTCTTCAGATATCCCAGGCGCCATTGATGGGCACACTTCCGCTTGACCTCTTTGTAGGCTTGGTATTTGACGTCTTGTGGAGGAAGGCTGCATGCAAGAGAACCGGCTCCGGTATGACCAGACCCACTACCCCTACTCCACTCCACCAATGACTGAACCCCAACCCTCCGACTTCAATGGCCCCAACGCCAAAAGGAACAGCCAAGCACCTCTATGAAGTCGTGACAGCGGATCCTCACCTGGTGTCATTCCGGGACCATTGCCAAAGGCCGGACAACTTGGAAGACCAACCACTGGAAGTGGATCTGGAGGATCATGTTAGCTTCTGGCGTAAGATGGGGGAACACAAAGGTTCAGAGCCACACGGCTTGCACAATGGCCATTTCAAAGCGGGAGTAGCATCCAACTTGCTTGCCTGCTGTGACACGATCTTTTGCTCCATCCCTTTTGCTACAGGATTTGTCCCAGCCCAGTGGTGCCACCTGCTCAACTTTGCAAGTGAGAAGAAACCAGGCAAGATTTGGGTGGACCTCATGCGCACAATTCAAATGATGAATTCAGAGCTACAGGCCAACAACAAGAGAGTGGGGAAATCGGCCATTGCCTATGCAGAGCAGTACAACCTGATCCCAAAGGGACAACACAGGTCTTGCAAGTGTCACCAGGCCATAAATCTGGCCCTTACAAAGCATCTCACTTGGGACCTCTTGCATTGCCAATGCCGCCCTGTCGGATGGATCTCCAACAATGCCAAGTCCTGCTTTGATTGTCCAGTGGATGGCCATCATTAGCCTCATGTGCTTTGGGATTCAATGGCGTACCCTTTGCTCCATGTTTGATAAACTGATGAAGTCTAAGCACCAGGTGCGTGCGGGGTTTGGCAATTCAGACCGTGTCTTTACTCCCCCAACCCTGATCCCATTCCAAGGGTGTGGACAAGGCAATGGGGCAGGACCTCCTATCTGGGTTGCAATTAGCTCCATTCTCTCGGGGATGATTATTTGCAAAGGCTTTGGCTTTGACTTTCTGATGTCAATATCTTGGGCTCCGCTCTTGGCCGATTGCTTTTGTTTTGTCGATGACACTGATGTCTGCCAAGCAGCATTGTCTCCTGACCAGTCTAGGGAATCTGTTGTCCCAGAGGTGGCCAAAGCACTGACATGGTGGTCCAACGGCGTCCGCCTTACTGGTGGCGCCATCCGACCAGATAAATCCTTTTGGTATCTGATTGGCTTCAAGTGGAATGCCCAACAAGGTGTATGGAAATTCCGACGGAAGGGGGATTTCAAACCACCCCTTCTTCCAGCAGGCATGTCGGAAATTGCGGTTGAACTGGATGATTTTGATGGCACCCCAGTGCATCTACAGTGGTTGGAACCGCACAAATTGGCTAAGACTTTGGGTATCCTGATGTCCCTCTGTTTATACAGGAAAGTGCAACTTGTGGTGATGAAGGGGAAAGCAAAAGCATGGGCGGATCAGATCCAACCTAGCTTCCCCCACCAATACAATGTCCTCCCTCTCTTTTGCACCACAATCCAGAAGACTTTGGAGTACCCCATGGCGCTCACCTCCTTCTCTCAGCAGAAGTGGGACCAGATACAATCTCCAGTGCTCAGGGCGGCACTTCCAAAGGCTGGTATCTGCCGCAACTTTCCTCGTGCTATGGTCTATGCCCCAATTGCACTCCAAGGAGTTGGTGTCCCTCATCCATACGGTCTCCAGGTCATCAAGCACGTGGACATGCTACTTTGCCACCCGGCCAATAAGACCAAGATGGGCGCCTTCTTGGAGGCAGTCCTCCAGGCACATCAGCTTGAGACCGGTACCTTTTACGGCCTCTTCCAACAAGTCTATGCCACCACCTCCATCCTGGCGTCTGACATGTGGGCAAAGCGGACCTGGAGTGAACTCAACTCTCTCTCAATCCACCTCGAGTTTGATCCCCCCTCTCTTCAGTCACTACACCAAGGAGACCAACTGTTAGTTGACTTGTTCATCAATTCTTTGGTGGACCAACTTACTTTGAAATGGCTCAACTGGTGTCGGATCTTCCTGCATGCAGTCACTGTTTCTGATATTGTGAATGCTGAAGGAACAGCAATTACTTTGCAGGCATGGAAGGAAATAAGAGTGGACAGCTGTTCTGAAATAAGAGTGGACAGCTGTTCTGACCGGTACCAATGGCCCATACTGCTCGTCGGTCTAACCAATGGTGAACTGCATGGCAGCAATGGATTTCTACTCACCTGACCGGCCACTCAAACCAACGCTGTCTCAGTTCTCCGTTGTCCTGGAAGTGGCAATACTCCCCCGCTACCAATACCCTGTTCCACCGTGAGGGTCAACTATGGATCCCATCCGTCCCTCTCGCCTCCACCAGCCGTTACCCCACCTTCTACATGCCTTGCCGAATCAACCCTGACCTCCCACCTTTACCAGTGGAGACTGTCCGCGCCTCGGTCTCTGTCCTCCCTAGCTGGTCTCCAATCCACAAGAGCCGAGCCCCCCTCCACTCTACGGGCCCTCACCTATCAGCCAAACCATCCTTGACCTCTGGCATCACTTGGGCAGTCTGGCTAAATCAGATTCTCACGGCTGGGTTCCAGAGGTCATTACCATTGAAGGTAGTGAGGACCGCCTGGTTCAGGCCCGTCTTGTCGATACCCTTCGTGCTCTGAGTGACGGCTCTTACAAAGCTAAAGTGGGCATAGCATGCGCTCAAATTCTCACTGAGGACCGCAGTTCATCTGGATCACCTGCTAACCCCTGGGAAATTGGAGGATCAGAGTTCAACGCGCAGCAAATTGATTGGCCTTATGGCTTCTCTCCTGGTGTTGAACTGGATGTCTCAGGTCGCCCACCCGAAACTCTTTGCCCGCCAACCGTCGGTTGAGATGGCCTGCAACGGGCTAATAGCTCTTGATAAGTCCTTCTCTGAAGTCCACCTGTCATCGCCTGGTGCTCAATTTGATCTGGCCTCCACCATCCCGGCCTTGCTTTGCCACCTTCCCCTCCAAGTTCATCGGCGCCATGTTAAAAGTTGGCTGCATTCCCTGCTAAACTGCCGAGTTTTTTCAGCAGTTGGCCTGAATTCCCAGAGTCCATTGTTGCAGGTTCTATTGCGTCACTTGGGTGCGCACTCATGTCACTTTTTTTAAACAGTGAAATTGTGGAGAAAAAGGTACATTTTTAGCTTCTATGTAGAACATACAGGCGGGTTTCAGCACAAACTCCCTCTGTTGCTGGAAATTGGCATTGTGACCAATTGGCTGATTGACATTCAACGCTCAATTCCGTCCGACAGAGCTCAGTGTAAGCAGAATACACGTAGCGATCCTTGGTAAGGCTATAAAAAGCTTGGAAGACTTTGCGTATAGTCGTTTGATCTGCTATAGGACTTTCCTATGGGGCATCTTTGCTGAGAATGAATATCACCCTTTGCCACAACAACATCAACAATTATTTTGCAACTGTACAACATGAAACTCATTGAGATAATGATCAAATATCTTCTCAAGTGACAGGTGCTGGTGTTCTTTACCATCTGTTTTCAGGAAGATTGTGGTTTCATTTCCATAGTTTGACAGGAATTGGTGTGCATCTTGTGTTGTTGATTTCTTGTCATGGTGCTGTTCATGTCATTTTGGCATTGGTACATGTACCACCTCCTGCCCTGTATGTACATATGGAATTTTTGCCGGCTTTCACTTTGTCTCCAGCAAGCCGTCCAGCTTGTTAGACTCAAAACTACTGGTACTTTATGTACTAGAGTCTACCAAAGGCACGCATGCCAGTCCAACATCATGTATGAAGGTACTAATATCTACTTACTTGGTATGACTACCATAGCCCTGTAGAAGTTTTGCCTCCAGGATTTTGTTCTGCTTCCAACCATAAAACAACAATCCACAGAACAAGAAGCACCCTCCGGTTGAACAATGATCTTTATGCAGCTCTGTAAATGGCAAGTCAATTGCGCATCTGCAATGTTGCAAAAAGCTCACACCCCATGGTTTGTCTAACACTGGTTTGTCTTGTTATTTTTCTTATTAGGGGTGGGTTGGCCAAAAATCCACATTTTGCGCCAGTGGGTGGTGACAACATGACGTGATGCTTTACAGCTGCTGACAGCTGCAAATGGCAAGTCAATCTCCTACTACACTGATGTGTACATTCTGCTTTCTACTTTCTAACATCATCTGGCTTGCTTGGTGCAGGTGCTCATCACTTTGACCACAACCAGCAGCGGAGCCAGCCACATGTAACGTTCTGTGTTGTCTTATCCTCTTCTTCTACACCTACCAGTACGAGCACAACAAAGCAAGGCAAGAGGGTTGGGGCTAATCTTCAAGGCACAGGAGTTCTAATACTAATGGAAAGAATGCGTCCAACACAGATCCAGCAAGCAAAATTACTGTTGATGACAATCCGCCAAGGTGATGGATTAACAGGTAATAGAGGGGAGGGACAGTGGCACTATTGCAGAACAGGAGGCAGGTCAGAGGTTCAAGCACTGTAGTTTCAACTGCTTGCAATTTACACCCTAGGATAGCCAATTCAATAGATTAGTGAATTGTCAAATAAAGTAAATTTCTATATGAGACAATCAATGGTCACTTTCAATAGTTTTGCCAACCACGTATCCTTTCATTGCAATACACTAGTCTTCCAAAGGAGAGGAACCTCTGTTTTAAAGGACAATGAAGTTCCAATAGAGTGGCAAGCACATTGCCCTTAAAAGACGAATCCTGTGAATGAAATAACAGTCAGACGGCTTCGCATCTCAAGGTTCTGCAACAAAATCAAATGGGAACTTTCCAAAGATGAGAAGGTTCTATTCATCAAAAAGACAATTTCCTTGTCATGAAAAAGACAAGGGGTTCTCATGTAGCACATGGTCTTCACATGGGGTGGTGATAAAAATCACAATATCCTGGTCCTTTTTACCCAGTGGGACCAGCAATAAGGGGATCTTACTGGACAATATAAACCTGATGGGGAGGAATATTATGAATACATCCTTTGTTATGTTGATGACATACTCTGTATGTCAATGAAAGCCAAAGAAGTAATGGAAGGAATTGGAAGGGTGTTCAAATTCAAGAAAGGGAAGAATGAACCCCCAGAAAGCTATCTAGGAGCCAGATTACGAAAGAAGTCTTTGGACGGAGTTGATATGTGGACAATGTCTAGCTATGACTATGTTGTGGCAGCCGTCAAGAATGTTAACAAGATGTTGCAAGGTAACACAGAGTGGAAACTACCCAAGAACGTGCCAACACCAATGACAAGCGCAAGATGGAACATGGCTGCTGGAGTGGTTGATGTATCATGGATACCAGAAATGTTGAACCTCGCTGATTGCTTAACAAAACAATTGACCCTGGAAAAAAGGGGATGCCTGTACTAGTGATTTTGTCAAACTGAATTCCATTGTTGGTACCCAGTTTGAGGGGACCAAATAAAGGTGACTGTGCTATTGGATACAGCATATGTTGTACTGATACAGACTCGTACCATTGCCAGATGCTTCACAAAACAATTGAAATTGGAAAGAAGGGGATGCCTGTACTAGTGATTTTGTCAAACTGAATTCCATTGTTGGTACCCAGTTTGAGGGGACCAAACAAAGGTGACTGTGTTGTTGGATATGAGATATGCTGTACTGATACAGAGTCTTTGAGTAGTAAGGATAAATTTGCCACAGGCAAAAGCTGTTGATGTGATAATGAACACACTCTTTCTAAGAATATGTTTGATTTACACTATGGTCTACCATAGCTACCATTTTTTAAATCAATCACATTGTAATGTTGTAATGATAATATTTATATTTTCCCCCCTCCAACCTTGCAAGACCAGCCACCACAGCCAAGCGCTGTCATCTTTTATACATCACATAATAAATATTTGTAAGTCAAAGCCTCACCAATCACCTTTGTCATCCTCCAAGAAGGCCAACGTATTGGCATAAAACTGCAGTATTTTGGCTATATCCTTCCATTAGCTGTTTTTTGTGCTAGTAGTGATAGAATCTACCGTACCGGTAGGGATGAATCATGCAATTGACCCTAAATGGGAGGCCCAAAGGGTGACTCCAAGAGGTCTGATTATTTTTTACGATGAAAATGGTGAGACTACCAAAAGTGCTAAGGTCAGAGGCTGGACATTGTCCACATGACTAACGGATGCGGATGGCGGATGCGCTGTTAGCTTAAGACGGAGTAAGACCAACTTTTTGAATTCAAAGTTCAATTTTGATGGCAAATACCTTCGCTTGTCACTCCGATGTCGCCCCTTTTCCATCCGGTACAAATCTTGTTATTTGAACATATTATTTGCTTAATGTGTACAGGGTATTTGTTTCCACACTTTCAATCACAAAGTTCTGTCTAGAATTCATGGAATTTCAAGACATTCAATCAAGCCACCAGATCTGGGAATCTCATTTTGCCGCAGCATTGCAAAACAACACCAATTAATACATATAGGTACACCAATAGTTTTGTTGGGGTCCTACCGTGCGATCCTTGGATAGATTCTTGGTGACTTGTGGATTGCATACCCAATTGACTCCCCAGGTAAAGTAGGTGCAGTTCAATCACTTCTACCTTGAGATTTCCCAATTCAAACTGCCAAACCTTGGTAGATATACCCATGGACCAATAGAGTATGCCAGAATAAAGGATCTTGTCAAAATTAGGCCATCAATTTGACAATTCCAGAATTTTTAACAAAATGGAATTTTCTGACACCATTTTGGCCTCATGATTCTTGATCTAGGCCAAATCATTGCCTTGTTTCCAAATAATCCAATCCTTAGACATCCAAGGCCCTGTTTTGTTCTTGAATAGATAGGTGTCTCAATGGCGGCCATGGGGAATTTCAGAGCGTCACAGAACACACAGCCCCAACAAAGGAAAGTAGAAAATCTTTGCAAATCAAACAAATAAAGTGAACCAATAATGCTCTGCCGTTGTATCAGATTGCAATAGCGCATACTACACCCTGGGGATTGGCAATCTCTGAATGTGGGGCCCACTGTGCATCCCAAAGGCAAGCTGACAGAAACGGTTCCAACAGCACTTGTTGATTGTAGCATGATTGAGTTCAGACAGAAACATTGTATCACACCTCAATGGGGAATCTATATATCCATGTAGCCTTGTGCCACATCTGATTCCAAGTTTTCTTTCTGTAGGGCCAACATGCAATTCATCTCTTTTTGACACATTTTGCCAATTTAAGGACTCCGTTGAGAATTTGAAGAAAGATAAACTGATATCCAGCATCACATTAATCCAAGGCCTTCCATGTACCAATAGAAGTAACCTCCGCCAAAACTTTCTGTGCCTTGGGATTTTGTAGGGTCCCAAAACCATACAAAAACTTGTTTTCGGACGATAATGGTGGGCTTCAGAGGTCATTTTGGGGATGAAAGAAACCAATGAGGCCATATCACTTCATAGGAGCTTTGTACACATACGGCTACAGTTAGCTGCAAATCGACTCTCTTACAGTGAGTGATGAATGCAAGTGCTTCAAAGCATACCATCGTGATAAAATCAAATCCATCAGCCTTTTTGCATTAAACCTACAGAGGGACAAAGTACTGGGCTCCAAATGCTAAACCTCAATACTAAGAAGATGATTTCCTGACCCTAGGTCGTTGTACTACCCGTTACCGACCAAGTAATCCAGCGTGTTGAAGCTTGGGCTGCTGCATTTCAAGATGGCAATCAAATCGCAGGAGTGGATGACATGGAACAAGGTTACTTAGAAGAAGCCTTTGATCAGGACTATGAACCTGAAGATGAAGATGAACGTGATTTCAATCTACATGGACAATTCGATGATATCGATGACTCCAAAAGAGAAGAGCTCTTGGCAGATGCAGACAATGATGTCAATGATATGCCAGAACTCACTGTCAGATTCCAAGGAGATGATGACTATGAATCAGACGACGATTTGGGTGATGAAGGCGATGAAGAGGAAGAACCTATTGTGGCCGATTTGGATCAATAAGAACAAGAATCAAGTTGCGACAAGACGCAAGCATCAAGAAAGAGAATTGAAACCGTTGAAGAACAAGTTAAAATCTGGCATTTGTACCAAAGAAGGAAGTCGCAGTACTAAAAACAGTAAAGCTATCCTTGAAGCAAAGCACAATCTATGTTTCCAACAGATTGGGAATAAGATGAAAGCTGATTATGAAGAGCACGACGCTATTCTGATCGCTCGTTGCATGATGCAGATCAAGGCCAAGTTCGATACTGACAAAGGTCTGAACTTTATTCAACAGTATTACATCAACCAAGGACTGAAGAAGTTTGGTGATGATGGAAAGGATGCTGTGGATAAGGAATTGAGACAAATGCTCCGGAGAGATTGTTTCACTCCCGAATTTGTTAAAGACATGACCGCGTCTGAGCGAAAGAAGCCCCAATCAGCAAATATTACTCGCGGAAATGCATTTTGAAAAGAAAATTAAAGGTCGCCTAGTATACCGAGGCAATGGAACTCGTGAATGGTTATCGCGAGAGGACACTGCAAGTCCAACTGCTTTGCAGGAAGCAATCACCACTACTTGTGTTATCAATGCACACAAAGGTAGAGATATAATGTCAATGGACATTCCTAATGCTTTCATTCAAACTTATATGCCTGAAGCTAAGGAAGGAGAAGATCGTATCTACATGAAAATCACTGGCATGATGGTCCAGATATTGATTGACATGGCCCCAGAGTATCGCGAATACGTTGTATTAGAGAACGGAAAGTGAGTAATCTATGTGCACGTACTACGTGCTATAAATGGGATGTTGCAATTGAGCCTACTATTCTATAATCAGTTTCAAAGTGATTTGGAGGCAAAGGGATTTGTTTTCAATCCGTATGACCCGTGTGTTGCTAACAAAGTTGTTGATGAAAAACAGAAAACAATCAGGTTTCATGTTGACGATCTTATGTCAAGTCACATGGATCCGAAAGTGAATGACGAATTTGCTAAGTGGTTGAACATGAGATATGGTTCAATCAAGGCATGTACAATTGTCAGAGGAAAGATACACAGATGTCTTGGAATGACTTTGAATTTCTCGGTGAAAGGAAAACTCAAGATCCGCATGGACGACTATGTCAAGAACATGTTGGAAGATTTTCCTGTCAAGTTCAACAAGGATTCAAAGCAGGAAACACCAGCTAGTAACGATTTACTGGAAGCTGGTAAAGGGAAGCTACTCAGTGCTGAGTACCGTCAGATCTTCCATACTACTGTTGCAAGGGGACTTTATGTCTCTAAGAGAGCTCGTTTGGATATCCATCCAACGATTACTATTCTTGCCTCAAGAGTTCAAGAACCTACAGAGTCTGATTGGAAGAAGTGTATTCACATGATGCTATATTTGTTTTGTACATTGTTGTATCACCTGATACTTTCTGCAGAATCACCACAAGTCATGAAATGGATGATTGATGCATCATTTGCGGTACAGCCTGACTTCAAGAGCCATACTGGCTGCACCTCTTCCAAGGATGCCAAAGAAACAAAAACTAAACAGCAGGACCCATCGCAACTTTTCTCAAACGCGCAATTTGTATTTGTTGAATTCGCACATACCCCTATGAGGGGGTTAGTCTTTTGGTGCCATTGCCTTGAAACCCTCAAATCCATTGTGAAGGATTGGCAAAGAAACATCCAAATTATTTAGGAGCGGTATTAACAGTGTTGCCTAATTGGTCTTATCCCAAACAATTTGTTTCCTCAACAAATTTTTTTCAAACGATTCTTTCTCTAGCCAAACAATTTGTTTGGTCACTAAACATTTTTTTCTCTCTCTAGACGATTTGTTTTGGTAAACGATTTTTTTCTCTCACCAAACAATTGTTTTGTTTTGTTTCCAAAGAGATCAACTAAACCATCAGTTAACCACTATGGGAATGCAACCAAGGTCTATCGATTATGTATCGAATTGTTTTGAGAAATTTATTTGGCGTCGTATCCTTTCTACAACATTGGAGATCGATCCTATGCAAAATTGGGTTGAGGTATCAAGTCTCGCCTTTTGACAATATCATCATCCTCAAAGCTGACAGGGAGATTAAACGGTTGCGCAAATGACCCACTATTAGGAAGGAAATGGCCCTGTGAAAGAGGCGCCCCTACTGCCAAACACAAATAAATTGATGACAAGAATTGATGAAGAGTTGATGGTTGATCACATCATCAACATGCCCACCAACGCTGGGTCAACAGCTAGAGGTAATAGAGAAGGGACGAATGCTGGCATTGTTGAAGGTGGAAGGAAAGCTAGTGCCTGCAGAGTACGGGAGTAATATCATGCAGCATTTCAATTTGACTTCCTCCATACATATTTGACATCACGGAAACCAGCAAACATAGTTTTAAAAATGTAACAATAAACCTACTTTTCATTGTTCGATTCTAATGAAGCTAAAAATTTAATTGTCTGAGGAAAATGAAAACAAATTTTCAATGATGTACTACTAGGTAATTTTTGAACGAATTCCAATTGTTTGCTTGTATCTAGAAGGATAGCATACAAAGGCATCAACCGACGATGTCAAGTAAAATGCAGGCTAACAATTCACCGCAAAATACATCCAAATGAAATGAATCAATAAATGATTTATATATGGATGGTGGTTTTTGAAGAAAGAATGAAGTGTTTTGCAGCTTTTCCTGGTTTGTACTATTAATGTGAGTGATGTGAAATTCAAGGAAACAGTGAAGCATGATATGATTTTGCTAAACCTGTTGGGATATGACGAAATATGAGTTTTTACGTTCCAAAAAGAAACTATTCAAGTACAAAGTTTTCAACACGTACAATCGGACTTTGATCGTGATGTCGGGATTCGACGCAAGTAGGCCGGACGCAAGTCTGTCAGACAATCTACATCCACACAAAAAGGGAATGACCCTATACAAGTGAGATATTGGTGTTGTGTACAATGCAGTAGGGAATAATACAAGATGCCCCAAAGTACTCCATCCAACACAGAATTGTCGTAGAGGTCAAATCAAGTTCTGTAAACAAGAACTTACTTTTGTGATTGAATCATCAATTGAAGCCAAACATTAATCAAATAGAAACAATTTCACTCAAAGTATACCTAGAAACAGGAGAACTATTGTCATGAAAGTGTTGTACAGTCGATTACAAATTTAGATTGCAGAGAGTTTGTTCTGAGCGCTAAAGGCACTCACGATAGAGCACATTTTGCTTTATTCTAACAAAACCCTAGATCAGTAGTCACATGAGAGCAATGTTGTCACAATGATATTATGAACAAAGGTGTTCATGGAAGGGTATCGGATCGAGAAGAATATCTTGTATCAGGACAGCAAAAGTGCGATTATACTGGAAGAGAATTGTCGCAAGAGCGCAGGCAAAAGAAGCCGAGCTATCAATATTCGTTATTTCATTATCACAGATCAAGTTGAGAAAGTAAATGTCAAGATCGAATACTGTCCAACTGACAATATGATTGCGAATTCCATGACAAAGCCATTGCAAGGTGAGAAGTTTTGCAAGTTCAGGGATATGATTCTTGGTCCACAGGACTAGGTCAAACAAGTATGCAGATGTTCAAAAAAAATACAAAAAAAAATTGCAAAACAAAATAAACAGTGAATGAGAGCATCTCACATTGCTGCCAATTGCAATTGTCACAATGGCAGGAATGTGTTGGGAGATGACAAAATATATGTGTTTTTATGTTCTAAGAAAAACTATTCAAGTACAAAGTTTTGACATGCACGATCGAACTTTGATTGTGATGTCAGCATTTGACACAAGTCTGCTGGACAATCTATATCCACATGGAAAGGGAATGACCCTATACAAGTGGGATATCGATGTTGTGTACGATCCAATAGGGAATGCTACAAGATGTCCCAAAGTACTGCATTTGACTCAAAATCCTCGTAGAAGCCAAATTGAGTTCTGTAAACAAGGGATTTTCCAAGGGAAAAATTGTCAAACTCACTTTTGTGATTGAATCATCAATTGAAGCCAAATATTAATCAAATAGGAACAATTTCACTCAAAGCATACTCAACACAGGAGAACTATTGTTGTGAAAGTGTTGTACAGTCAATTCCAAAATTAGATTGCAGAGACTTTGTTCTGAGCGCTAAAGGCACTCACAATAGAGCACATTTTTCTTATTACTAACAGTGTGACCCTCAAGGTCTCCAAACTAAGGTCCAAGTGTGAATTTTCTCAGCACAAGGCGCATTCAAATACATTCAGCAATGGCAGCAGACAAAGTATCCAAACCATTTAACAAAGCAAGCAAGAATCCAATACAAATGCTCTCACAAGTGACAACACTGGAATTTGTTACCAAACTTCAAATTGGAAGGACGGACCACTTGGGCTTCTCCAGTCTCTTAAGCAAAATGAATGCCCCCACTCTTGATAGCGACAAGGCCCTTGCGGGATGTTGGTATGGGACTACACTAGGAAACCCACATCCTGTCTTATACAAAATGGACCCTTCATTAGTATTATCTGGAATAGTATTATCTGGAATTCACTCGGCAACTTTTGTTCCACTGCAGGGATGCTTATCCCTTGTATTTGCCATTCCAAAATGTGAAGACAATTCGGAACATTCCCACGGTCTTGAAGCATTCCAGGAATGGAAAGAAACATTGTCTTTGAGTTCAAAGATGGTACTGATTCACATGCTACTAGTGTTTGAGAATGTGGCCAAACGGGAATTGAGCACTCCTGATGTTGACCTTCCACACTTTTGTTGCACTCCAGGTGAAGCATACACCTTTCCATGTCAACAATGGAAATGTTGCGCGATTATTGAAAATGATAAAGCATCTTGAGAATACATGACATTGCATCCAATGGTATTGGAGTCCAAGGAGAACAAGGGTGTGGAGGGAAGCGAAGCCCCTGAGGGGGCTTTGGGGCTTCGCCTCCGGCACTCTGGAAGAGGAAGAAGACTCCAATGATGATGATGATGAAGACTCGGATGAAGACGATGACGATGATGGCAATGACAATGAAGTAAAGGCCAAGGACAAGCACTCTTTCAATAAATCCTTGTTGGAAGAAGATGGGGATGATGTATTCAATGAAGAAGAAGGTAGCTGCCCATTAACTAAAGTGACAACGGTTGTGTCCAAAACCGTTGATCAATACAAGGAGGAATGGACTGATAAGACCATGATTCTATACGCTCTATTTCAACATGTAATGAAAAAAACATTTTGTCATGTTCGGTTGCTTTTCTCTTATGATGAGCAAGCTCCACAGTAGGATCCGGGTAATACAAGAATGTGGTATGGGCTTGCTCTTTATTTTGGGTGTCAGTGTCCAAGTGTCAAGTTGAAGGTACAGGCTGTTTGCTTTCCTTGCTTGTCCGTGTTGATTTCATCCCCATACAGTATGATGGGCACGAGCATTTCCCTTTTCCCCTCATCACACTTTAATTCCATGGTGTCACGCCACCAGGTGCCATGATGCATTTCACTGACAAAATTGGGTTTGTCTTCTGGATCTGGTCTGAACTTGAAGGGGTTGGTTGGATGGGGCAAGGAGATATTCTCACCATTGGGACCCGTCACATCTTGGTTTGTCAGAAGCTCGTATACACAATCCAAGAAGGGGCAGATAAAGAGACTAGTAGGCCAATTGTCAGGGAGACAGTCAATCATGTGTTCCTGGAAACCATTGGTCTTTTGTACCCCCAAGTGAAGTCAAAACTGAGTAAACAATTCAGACCGAGTGGTCAGGTCCAACAGAAAAAGATTAGGCTCTTTCTTGGTCCCTTTGTGGGCCCATGCTTGAATGTCAGAAACAGAGGAGGCTGACCATCTGTGTTTCCTTGCAAGGCAAAGGAGGTGAAGGTCAGCTTCCATTTGTGTGCTGATAGATGGTGGCATCAATTTCCGGTTGTACTCTTCTTGTTTCAGTCGGTCCAATAGGTAGTTGGAAGAATCATGATTGGGGATGTTGTGAAGAAGTGGCTGGGGGGTGTTAGAATAAAGCAAAATGGGCTCTATCGTGAGTGCCTTTAGCGCTCAGAACAAACTCTCTGCAATCTAAATTTGTAATCAACTGTACAACACTTTCACGACAATAGTTCTCCTGTGTCTAGGTATACTTTGAGTGAAATTGTTCCTATTTGATTAATATTTGGCTTCAATTGATGATTCAATCACAAAAGTAAGTTCAACGATTTTACCTTGGAAAATCCCTTGTTTACAGAACTTGATTTGACCTCTACGACAATTCTGTGTTGAATGCAGTACTTTGGGACATCTTGTATTATTCCCTACTGCATTGTACACAACACCAATATCTCACTTGTATAGGGTCATTCCCTTTTTGTGTGGATGTAGATTGTCCGACAGACTTGCGTCCGGCATACTTGCGTCGAATCCCAACATCACGATCAAAATCCAATCCTACATTCTTTTTGGAACGTAAAAACTCATATTTTGTCATATCCCAACACACTCCTGCCATTGTGACAATCACCATTGGCAGCAATGGGACATGCTCTCATTCACTGTATATTTTGTTTTGTATTTTCTTCTGAAAATATGCATACTTGTCTGACCTATTCCTGTGGACCAAGAATCAGATCCCTGAACTTGCGAAACTTCTCACCTTGCAATGGCTTTGTCATGAAATCCGCAATCATACTGTCAGTTGGACAGTATTCTATCTTAACATTTCCTTTCTCAACTTGATCTGTGATAAAAAAATAACAAATATGGATAGCTCTGCTTCTTTTGCCCGCGCTCTTGCAACCATTCTCTTCCAGTAGAATCGCGCTTTTGTTATCCTGATACAAGATATTCTTTCTCGATCGGATATCCTTTCCACTCCACGAACAACTTTGTCCATAGTATCATCGTGACAACATTGTCAACAGCAATCAGTTCCGCTTCCGTACTGCTTCTGCTGTTTAGCTTTTGCTTCTTCGACATCACTTGAGCTGCACCTCCCCCAAAGGACAGAGTTCCGCCAGTATGGCTCTTGAAATCTGGATGCACTGCAAATGATGCGTCGATTATCCATTTCATGACTCGTAGTGATTCTGCGGAAAGTGTCAGGTGATACAACGATGTACAAAACAAATATCGCATCATGCGAACACACTTCTTCCAATCAGACTCTGTAGGTTCTCAAACTCTCGAGGCAAGAATAGTAATCGTTGGATGGATATCCAAACGAGCTCTCTTAGAGACATAAAGTTGCAACAGTACTATGGAAGATCTGACGGTACTCAGCATTGAGTAACTTCCCTTTACCAGCTTCCAGTAAATCCTTACCAGCTCGTGTTTCCTGCTTTGAATCCTTGTTGAACTTGACAGGAAAATCTTCCAACATGTTCTTGACATAGTCATCCATGCGGATTTTGAGTTTTCCTTTCACCGAGAAATCCAAAGTCATTCCAAGATATCTGTGTATCTCACCTCTGACGATTATACATGCCTTGATCAAACCATATCTCATGTTCAACCACTTAGCAAATTTGTCATTTACTTTCGGATCCATGTGACTTGACATAAGATCGTCAACATGAAATCTGATAGTATGCTGTTTTTCATCAACAACTTTGTTAGCAACACACGGGTCATACGGATTGAAAACAAATCCCTTTGCCTCCAAATCACTTTGAAACTGATTATAGAATAGTAGGCTCAATTGCAACATCCCATATACAGCACGTAGTACCCGCACATAGATTACTTGGTTTCCGTTCTCTAATACAACGTATTCGCGATACTCTGGGGCCATGTCAATCAATATCTGGACCATCATGCCAGTGATTTTCATGTAGACGCAATCTTCTCCTTCCTTAGCTTCAGGCATATAAGTTTGAATGAAAGCATTAGGAATGTCCATTGACATTATATCTCTACCTTTGTGTGCATCAATAACACAAGTAGTGGTGATTGCTTCCTGCAAAGCAGTTGGACTTGCAGTGTCCTCTCGCGATAACCATTCACGAGTTCCATTGCCTCGGTATACTAGGCGACCTTTAATTATCTTTTTGAATTGCTTCTCTGCGAATAACATCATCGCTGATTGGGCCTTCTTTCCCTCAGACGCGGTCATGTCTTTCACAAATTCAGGAGTAAAACAATCTCTCAGGAGCATTTGTCTCAATTCCTTATCCACAGCATCCTTTCCATCATCACCAAACTTCTTCAGTCCTTGATTGATGTAACACTGTTGAATGAAGTTCAGACCTTTGTCAGTATCGAACTTGGCCTTGATCTGCAGCATGCAACGAGCGATCAGAATAGCGTTGTGCTCTTCATAATCAGCTTTCATCTCATTTCCAATCTGTTGGAAACATAGATTGTGCTTAGTACTGCAACTTCCTTCTTTGGTACGAATGCCAGATTTTAACTTGTTCTTCAACAGTTTCAATTCTCTCTCTCGATGCTTGCGTCTTGTCGCAACTCGATTCTTGTTCTTATTGGCAGAACTGCTACTCATGCTCGAAGTCCATTCTCTTGGTCTCTGTGGAACTTGGGAAAGGTTCAGCCCAGACATTGCAGCTTGCGCATATGTTTGCCCAGATCAAGTGACTTGAGGCTCTTCAGGCTCAAATACAATCTCTTCTTCTGGCGGCTCTTGTAGGTCCTCCAGATCAGTAATGAGGCTCCCAATATCATCGGTTCCTCTATCGACATTTTCTTGATTGTGATCCAAATTGGTCACAATAGGTTCTTCCTCTTCATCGCCTTCATCACCCAAATCGTCGTCTGATTCATAGTCATCATCTCCTTGGAATCTGACAGTGAGTTCTGGCATATCATCGACATCATTGTCTGCATCTGCCAAGAGCTCTTCTCTTTTGGAGTCATCAATATCATCGAATTGTCCACATAGATTGAAATCACGTTCATCTTCATCTTCATCTTCAGGTTCATAGTCCTGATCAAAGGCTTCTTCTAAGTAACCTTGTTCCATGTCATCCACTCCTGAAATTTGATCGCCATCTTGAAATGTCTCCAAATCTCTCTTCAGTTGATATTGACATTATCAATGAGTTGCTGCAGACTGAAATGTGATGAGATACTGTCTTTCTGGGGAAAGACATTCAATAGCTCGGCGGCTCGACGTCCAAGACATTCAGTGATCACTTTTGGGAACACTTTGTAGGGTAATCGTGCAAGAGCTACTCTGACTCTTTCTTTCAGCGTCCTATTGTTTTGCTCAGCGGTAGGCTCGTGGTCTCCAGCTGCAGTTGGGTCAATAGCAACACCATATCATCTGTGAGAGGAATGAACGCCCGATCACACTTGATTGTCTTGACATGAAAGCCTGCCTTGTTGTAGCGGCGGAATATTTTATCCAATGCTTCAAATTCAGGGTCAGTCTTCAGGTTCTGCACGGGAATACATGAGCAATAACGCACAGTGGTATCAATGCAGGTGAGAAACTTAGCATTCTTGATCTCCATGTGATCGATACAGACGGTAATAGATTGATTCTGTTGATACAATTCCTCTGGTGGACTGAAGAAGTTGTCGTACGTCTTCTTTGGAGTTGGTCTTGTTGACTTGCCTTTCAATGTAGAGGCATCAGGTCCAAAGATCGCTTCGGCATGATTGATTGCTTCTTTGGTGATAGGACAGTTTTTGATGAGACCAGATCAGATCGCATACTTCAGACTTTTGGTGCTTGGAGCATTGAGTATGTGCATCGCACTTCTCGCTTCCATCGCAGCCTTGACTTGCCTTGGAGTGAATCCTTCCTTGTTCTTTCGAACGGTTGCCATCTTGGAGGTCATCTCGAGTCCAGCATATCCATTCTGTTTGTTTGAAGAAAGTTCGAAATGGGGTTGATTATTGAAGTTGCTTAACTGGCGACGGTACATTGCACTTGTCTCTTTGGCACCTGGTTTGACATTTGCTCCAAGTTGCTCCAACACATACACACCCTTACGATTCACAAATCGCATCTTTCTGTTTCCATCAC